TTCTTAGAAATAAAATAAAATAAAACAAACCCGAATAGTAATATCTCGAGAACGATTAGTATTACATCGTACATATAAATCTTGATCAATCTTCAAAATAAGAGAAAAATAAAAAATAAAAATAGATGTTTGTATTTTTAAATAACTAAATAAATATTCTATACTTCGGCATCTTTTTTAATTTTTTCAAATGTCATTGAACATAAATGTGCTGTTGTTTCAGTATTACTATCCGTTATTGAATACGAAAGAAAAGCTATAAATACGTAAGAAATATATCAAAAAAAAAATTGTAAATTTAAATTTACTATCATCTGATGTTTGAGAACTGTCATCTGAAGTTGAACAAGTACAAGTCAAACTAAAAGAGAAATTTCGTAAATTGTTTTTTTTTTAATTACAGCTAATTAAAATAGTTTCTTCTTTGACTACTAAACTTCCCACTCAAAAATCAACCTTCGACTAAGTATATTCAAATCCCATGAAATTTTCAAGATATTTTGGAGCTGCTGTTAAGAGATTATGCTAAAATTTTCAATCCTACCCACATTCTATAGATTTATTTATTTTGTATTTGAAAAAGTATATCAGACTACAGCGTCCTTTTTTTTCTTTTATAAATTCTTATTTTTTATGCGGAGAAAAAGAATGACAAATTCAATACCTTGAAAAACTCCCAAAAAAAATGATCATCGACTTATAGCAGTACATTTTTTACATAATAATAAAAAAAAACTTAATTCTAAAAACAGGCACTGCTGCTTCACATAATTAAAAAAAAATCTGATGTTAAAATTTCGACATGTATGAAAAGACTTAAGCATCGAAAACCAATGAAATCTTACGTTGCTGAATGTATATCAACATTTTCACAATTTTTTATTTGAATTTTCATAGGATAAGATTCATAGAGAAGTACAGGTAATTGATGTTCAACAGTTAATTTTACTTCTGCTGCTCTCATAATGATACTAAAAATAAAAATTTATAATTAACAAGAAAAAAAAACAACATTTTTTTGTTTTCATTTTCAAAATATATTTTTACTTTGTTTTTCGTCTAATTGGTAAATTTTCCCATAGAATATGACCAGCTTTTGTTCGCCATTTAGGTGTAAGAGATATTTGTTGAAAAGATGGATTTGATTGTAAACTATTTCGCCATTGAAAATCAACATGAGTTTCATTTGTCATACCATAAGTTAATGAAACAGATGTAATCTAAAGAAAAATTCTTATTTTTTCAAAAGATTTAATTACTTTTTTTTTTTTTTACTTCAAGTAATCGTTGAACATGATCATTTTTTGGTGCAAAATTAAAAGTTAATATTCGTTGTTCACCTGAAGAAAATTTTAATTGTTCAGCATTAGTAACATTAGCTAGACCATCATATTCTTTTAAATTAAAATATGTTAATAATTCACTAAATTCAATAGGTAATGGAAAATTATTTCTAAATATGAAAAATAATTTTTGTTTTTTTATTATATTATATATCGTACATTCATCTTACTTGAGTGCAATTTGAAGTGTAATTTCACTATCAATTGATACAGTTTCATGAGTAAAATAGACCTTACATTCCACTAGAATCAAGACAATAGTTTAGACAACAACAAAAAAAAAAACTTGAAGAAATTTCTTTACAAAGTCCTTTAAATGTATCAGCATCAATTGAAATTTTTTGTTTTGTAGGTAGTGCTTTCCATTGTTCATTTATTGATGATATAGTACATTCACCTTGTGGTATAATATTCTTTAAATAAAATTTATTATTAAGCAAAAAAAAAAATAATAAACAAGATTTGATTTATGATCTACTTTAATAATTAAATTTTCAAGATTTGTTTGTGTTTGAGTTTTTACTTGAATCGATAAATTAATATCTAAAGATTTTATTATTTCAAAAATTTTAAATAAAAACAAGAAACAAAAATTTACTTGGATTAAGTATTTCAAGACTAAATTGTATCCAATCTTGAAGATTAACACTCAAATAAGCGCATCTTAACAAAAAAAAAAAAACAGAAAATGAATTATTTTTATATTTCAATCAATTTGTTTCTTTCTTTTTACTTTAATGCAGCAGGTAATATCGCTTCTAATATTGGCCACCAATGTTCAGTTCGATAAGCTTGTACAATATGATTATAATAACTAAAAATTCGAAAAAATTAAAATAATTTTTTGTTTTTTTTGAAATTATCATATTTAAATTCTTTACTTTAATGCTATATCATAATTTTTACTTGATACATATTCTTCAGCTAGATTATACACTAAATAAAATAGATAAGAATAGATTTGATTTAGAAATCAATTCAAAAACAAAAAATTAAAATTAAACATACTTAAATAAAGTTTCATTCGATTTGATGAATGTTTTTTAAAATGAGTAATAGCTTGAACTAATAAGGAAATAATTAATTCCTAAATATTAATATTTAATCATTTATATTTTATTCAAATTAATTAAACATACGGAATGATTAACACGAGATTCAGCATCTCGTAATGCAGCAATGGCTTCTCGTTCTTTTTGAGCATCACTTATTTCCATACCTTAAATATAAAAATCGTTAGCATATTAAATATTTTTCATTTTATCAATTATCATAATAGAATCATTATCTTGAAATTGAAAAATATTTAATTATAAAAACTTAATCTATTCGATATAATTCATTCTGAAAAAGTAATGATCTTTTGTTATAAATTTCATAATTATTTAAAAATAAGGAATAAAAATAATGCTGAAGACCACATGAAGAATAAGAAAAGCAAATGGATAGAAATAAATAAAGTAGCGAACGAAAGCAGAATATAACTTAGACATTAGAATAAAACTTATAGTCACGATGTATATATATATATTTATATAAGCAAACAAACTAATAATATTTTACATAATTCTTAGTTAGATTATTTTTGCTTATTATTAATAAACAGTAAGCAAAATAATTATTGTTCTTTTTTTTTGTTGCATACAAAAGTTCACATCTAAAGTAAATTTCTATAAATTTATTAATACCTAGAGTGAATTCATTAAATGATTTTTATTTTTCAAATGATAAGTATGATCGTGAAGTTTTCATTTACATGAACAAATTGTACGAATTTAGTTTAAAATTGTTGATTTCCTTTTATTTATTTTTTTTGAAAATAATACGTAATAAATCAAGAGAAGTGAATTAATCTTATAGGTTATATAATTCCTAAGTAACACACTATCTTAGTTTGCTTTCGATCATGATACATTATAAAGAATGTTTATTAAATGAATCATCAGAGATTAAATTCATTAATAAAAAATACACAACGGATTAGTTTTTAGACATTGCAAAAGATAGAAGTCTTCTATTCTAGTCAATGCTTATAATTTGAAAATTGTAATTGTAATATTTGTTGTTTGTTTCAGATCAAACTCTCGTTCAAAAGAATGAAAATTGAGATGAATGTATGGAGAGAGAGGCCGACATCTAATCTTTCATATACGACATGGCTTTTATTTGATACTTCATTTCTTGCTTGAAAAACATATTTTTTTCGATTGTGCAAACTAGAATTCGCTGTAAGTCTTTTTTTCTGTACCTTTGATTTGTTTTTGTTTGAAAGAGCATGTCAAGATTCAGGGCATGACAGAGTCTCTTTTTTAAATTAAGCTTTATTAATACTATAGAAAAGAGCACTTTTATAACTAGAGTACCATCTTTTTTTGAGAGTTTTCCGAAACATTGAACTTTTCTTTGTTTAAAAAGTAAGAATTTAGAACAGGGCACTGCATCCTGGCATGTTTCTACAAACAGAAAAAGATTAAGTATATAGAACGAAAGTATGCCAAGTGATCAATTTTTTCGTCCATGGTTGTTGAATATCTCCCTCGAACATCATGGTATAGGATTGAAAATTTTACTATAGCTTCTCCACTACACCCTCAACATATGGAAATTTCATGCGATTTGAATATACTTGGTCCAAGATCGATTTTTGAGAAGGATTTGCCTTAAATCAAAACTTCACAACCATTCTAATCAATAATAAATTTCTATAAATTTACTATAGTATGGAACATGATGTAATCTTCCAATATTGCCATCACCATTATTTTATATCAAATATAACATAATGACTTTTTAGAATAAAGATAATCGCTTAAAATTAGTATAATTTAGCATATCTAATAAATATAAACCATCAAAATAAAAACTAACCTTTTTGTACTTTAGTTAAAGTTCTACCTACAATGTGTTTACTTTAACTTTTCTATTTTGTTTTAAAAACGATATAATATATTTGCTGAATCTTTATTTTTCTCTCTCTCTCTCTCTGTTTTTTTACTGAATAATTTACTTTGATGATGTTGTCTCCATGGTCTTTGTCCATAAAATTCTGTTGTTTTTAAAAATTCACTTGAATCAAAATCAGGTTGTTCAATTCGACGACATGTTTGTGCAATTTGCTTTCGAGCCATTGATTGATAAGCTGCTTCTTGATAATAAAACCCTGGATGTTGAGTTTGTATTGCTAATGGACAACGTGTAAATAAATCACCAAATGTTTGAAATCTAATCAAAAAAAAAAAAAAAAAGAAAGATGATTTCAAATTTGATATTTATAAATAAATTAAACAAATAATCAATTACTGTTTTGAAAGCCATGCTTTATGTTCGAAAAGTAAATCAGTTGGACCAGTTTTACTTTTAAATATATCAGCATGACGACGAAAATGATTAATTGCTTCAACTGGTTGAGATGATTCAAATGAAATTCGACATATCTAAATAATATTTTAAGAAAATTAATTTAACTTTTTTTTTTATTAACAACAAAAAAAGCAAAGAAATATTTGCTGCTTTTTTTTTACTTTATAAGCTAAAAAACCAGCAATCATTTTCATTTCAAGTATATTTGTATCATGAATACGAGCATTTTCTGTTAAATAACTATATGCATTTTTATATGACTTAACAGCACTTGGAATATCTTGTTTAAGTTCAGAAAAAAATCCAACTTTAAATTGATGACGTATATGTAATAATTGATGTGTTATATTATTTAATGTGTCTTTATGTTTTTTAACACGACGTATTTCATTCGTATAATAATTTTGACTACTTTCAATAAATGTTTGTTCTAATCTACAAATATATTTTAATAATAATAAACAAGAACAAAAACAAAAAAACAAAAAACATTTGAATTAAAATTCAATACAAACCTATCAATCCATGCTGAAAGATTATCAGGTTGTGGAAGTACAGGTAAAACACATAGAGAACGTTTTGGTATATCAAAATAAGTACAAAGTGTATTAGCCATTTGATCACGTTCGGAACTATAGACATCATCGACTTAAAATAGAAAAGATTAAATTAATTTATGAAGATTATTTTCATGTTTCTAATTAAGTTTAATGATGAACTTTTAAAGTATTCAATTAATTTGTAAAATATATCAAAAAATAAAAACTAGAGATTTGAGAAGTAATATTTTCTCTTCCTTATTCAGTTAATCTATTGATGGCAACACACATAAATATACGTTTTCAAAATTTGAATAGAGGGTGAAGTCAAAATATAAGGGGTGTTTCAAAATAAAGTGTATTAAATCTTGGTGCCTTTTTCTCTTACTTCCTAAATATAAAAAGTTTTCTTTATATGTTAAAAGATATAGAATTTGAAGTTGTCTAAAACTATCAACTCTATTTTTTAAACAACTCTTTGCTCATCAGAGTCGATGGTAAAAGTAAATTACTTAATACCAATAGATAGAGAATTTTGTGTTTGAAGTCTCAACGATCTTTTCAAGGTTTCCAAGACTGGTGTATACAAGAAGACAACTGTCGGTATTTTTGAGTCCACTTTGAAAAATTATGTTTTCAAAATGCTCTATGAAATATTTCTTATTATGCTATTGGAGGTAGAACTTAATTCTGAACAAAACAGTATAAATATCAAATTGAACCGTGAAAATATTTACAATGTTTTGGATTAGAAAATAAAAATACCAGAAGTCTAGCATAGAAAGAACTCTTTCTAATGTTTCTGCATTTTTTAGTTTAGTTTTGTTTTTGGTTTCTTGACTGTTGCAGTTGAACGACTAAGTAGGTGTGCTTTGTTTAATTTTTGCAATGACAAGAGAAAGCTGTTTGAGAAACAAAGTCAACAATTTTGTAGATTTTGAAATTCTCTGTCTTCAAACATCAGAAGGAATTTTTCTTATGATTAAAAAATGAGAAGAAAAAAAAATGCACTGAGATTTAATGCAATTTATTCTGGAACACCTGGTAGTAAAACAGCGTTTTTCAATATATTTTTCTGTTCTGACATAGATGCTACTGGTAATAGTTTTGCATCTTGAAATCAAGTCTGAGTATATGAATTACAATTGTCAATAATTTTTAAATTATACTATGTTAACAATAGAATTTTATTTTATTTATTCTTATAAACTTACCCGTTGGAAAACTATTTTTATTTTGAAGAAGTACTACTGAAATAGTAGCAGTACGGCCATCAAGATTTGTTCTAGAAAATATTCATTAAAATCAATATTATTGATTAAATATATGTATATTCAAATAGATATATATATATATACCTGACCATATCAATTTTATTTTTTAAATCATTTTGTTTATCTTTAAATAATGGATCATTCCAATCAAGTTCAAAAAAGATAACTATTAAACTTGGTACTAAATGTAAATGTTTATGCATCCAATTTGTTTTGAGTATGCCTTTCGGAACATACCATTCATATGTAGCACGCTAAAAATAAAATGAAACTAAATATAAATATAATTAACACAAACAAAACGAACTTTTGCTTTGCTATGTGGATATTGTTCATCAATATCTACAAGTCGATAACGTAATGGCGCATTAGGTCGTTCTTTATCAAGTAATTCCCAAATAGAACGATGTACTGGATGATGACGCGTATGAAGATTTGCTAAACATACAAGACCTCTTGGAACTACAGATAATTCCTCAGGCATAACACAAGCCCAAGCCATATTTAATGTTTTTTTATTGAAAAAAAAAAGAACAAGGATTTTAATGTTTTGTATTTTTTTTTCAGTGCTTCTAACTAAATAAGATAACTAGTATGATTCATTCTTAAACTAACAGTCATCTTTTTCACCAATAATGTTTGTTCAACAAAGCGCCATCTTTCAACACTGCCTACAAGTATTAACCAGGGCATCCAAATCTTTTGAATTAACAAGGAAAAATGTCGAATTTGGAGATTCGTTTTCTAGAACGCTTTTTGACCTTCCGAATTGTAATATTCTTCTAGATTCGAAGTTTTATGAATTTTATTACGACCTATAATTGAACTTTTACCTGAGATTAATAGATCACTAATAACATACAATCGCTTAAATCTAAAGTATTTTCGAACAACACGAAACATCATCTTCTGTTTAAGAAAGAAACGTCATTCCAATAAACGATCTTTCCCATATGAAATAAATTCTAAGTAAGGTACTTTTTCATATGTTTAACTGACTTTGATTCAACCATGAAGGATAAATTTGAAGATTCGAATATAAGTAAGATTGACGAAGAGAAAAAAATCGATATTCGCAACAATTTTCATACACAATGCTGATCCAAAAAAAAACATTTCAATTAAAATAAACTTGATATATATGCGTAAACATCGAATTATACATTAAAAATTCTGATTTATAACTCCTAATCAAAACTGCTCCGGATTTCAAAACATCTGACACATTTCGCAAAACTATTTTTAGTAAATGCAAGAATTTGTATACTTTTTAAATTAAAATAACAAGCAAGATTACAGAGAATATTTAGCAAAAAAGAAAATTTAATGTGAAGCATGCAAACGTTGTTCGATAATTACAGCCAATGGATTTTCAATAGGTTCTTCCATATCAATAACACCCATATGTCGACTTTTTTGTAGTCGTCGATAGACTATACCTGAACCAATAGCTAATAAAATTAATAAAAGAACACATGTTCCAACAATAATACCAATTAATGCATACTTAGTGCCATTATTATCATCTGTTCCTGATTCATCTGGATTTGGTTTATCAATAGAACATTTTGATATATTTAATTGAGATTGAATATTACAATGTGTTCGTGTAGTATTAAATAGACATATTGGTTGTATTAATGAATCATTCATAATTATTTGTATTTGTTTATCATTAAAGAATAAATCAACAATACAATTACATTCATGTGTTTCATCTAATTCAAATTGAAATAAATTTGATGATTTTTGAAATATTGTAAAATATGAACAAAATTTATCATCATTAAGTTGATAACCAAGTAAACTTATTTTTATTGTTTGATTTGTTGAATTACTTAAATGTTCTAGTAAATTAATAATCATATTTTCAGTTAGATTTGTATATGAAATATTAAGTGAAATAAGATTAAACATATTAGGAATATAATCATATATTAAACTTTCATTATTTTCAATAATAAATCCTTCGGAAAAATCAATTGTTGTTAAATATTTTAAACTTTTTAAAATATTTGTTTTAAGAAGTAAATCAAATTGTTGTTGTTTGAATATCAAATGTTTTATATAACTATATGGAGACCAATCAAAATCTTGTTCAAATATATTAATAGAATTATTACTTAAATCAAGTTTATCTAAATTATTTAATATTCCATCGACAATATTTGATAAAAATTTTTTTAAATTAATATTATTACGAATAATTAATTCTCTAAGTATCAATGATCGTGCTTGAAATGTATGAACATTAATAAATTTAAGTCCTGTTTTAGAAATTTCTAATAATTCTGTTGTTACAATAAATGATGGTAAACTATTATTAGTTATTTGTGTAAATGTTGGACAATTAAGAATATATAAATTTTTAATATTAGCAGGTTTTTGTATAATATTTGAAAATCCAGTTATATCAGATTGTTCAAATATTAATTCATTAATTTGTAAATTTTCACTAAAACAACTTGTATCAAATATTGGACGTCCATTAAAATTATTTATATTAAAAAAACGTAGACGATTTATTTTTATATGATTAAATGCATTTAATTGTAATGTTATACTTGATGGATTAGTTGAATATTCAATATCAATTGATATTATTGAATTATTTGGTATAATTAAACTTGATGAAAATGCATCAGTATTAATCATTGTTATATTAATAAGATGAATTGTTATTAAACTATTTGTAAGAAATGTCATATTTTGAAAAGTATGTGCTTGAATTTGTTGAAAATTACGAAAAAAATATTTTTCAACAGATGGTAATAATGAAAATGAAGAAAAATAATCATTTTCTGTTTGATTACCATAATTAGCATCACATATTACTACATTTGTATTTATGTCACAAGTACAGAATTCAATAGATGAACAATCTGAATGAATTGCACTTAAGTGTGAAGTTAATATAAAAAAATAGAAGAGATAATGTAAGAACATTGTTGATGGCAAGTTAAATATCTAGTATGAAAACGTAAAAGTGTTTTTATTTGTTACTGACTTTTATCTTTATTTTTAATGCATCATAATATGATAAATTTTAGCTTGAAGAAAAAGAAAATAAAAATTGTAACTTGCTTGAAATAAACAATATCCTATTGCTATTAAATAATAAAAAAAAACGTTTATTAAAATTATCAATTACATTTAGAGAATTCTTTTTTTTTTCTTGTTCTTTTAAAATCAATTGAAAAGAATTCATTTATTAAATGAATAAAATATAAAGTTCTTAACATATTATTGATCTTAGAAACATGTGACAGAAATAAACAAGCATAAAAAAGATAAATTCAGAGTCGTAATAATTAATTTCATAACTATTATTATCTATTTGTAAATAATAAACATTTTCAATTGAAGGATATGAGAATAGGTCAATAAATCCCATATGAACAGAGTAGGTGGTAAAAACATCTCTTTTTAGTTTTTTTCAATTAATTTATTTGATCCGTTCATTGTATCGTTTTTTTGTAATCATCTGTGTAAAACAATCTCTTAGATAATATTTCAAATCCTAAATAAGAAACAATGTCTCCTTTAGGATATGAGAAAAACTTTCATTTTTATCTCATCCGAAACAAAAAAAAACAGTCTTTTTTCACTAACATTTTTTCAATTTATATGTTTGTTTATCGCAAACAAAAACTAGATGCATAGATAAAAGATTTCATAAACATAAAAAATAGAAAAAAAAATGATATATATGTACATTTTTCTATTATTCTTTATCTTTATTCTTAATGATATCAATATCTCGTGAGATTTTTAACAACAATACAATATTATCGAGATAAACTAATGGAGGTAGAGAGACTTGTTATCGAAAAGAATAGTGGTCAATGAGTAATAGACTTTACTATCAATTCTTTTTCTTATTACCTAAGTAATTGGATGACTGGTCTTTTATTAATCTGGAGATTACCTAAGAAAATAATTAGAGACTGGTTTCATTTTACTCAAATCCCACGCAGATGAAAATAAACATTTTTGCAGACATATACATATATATATATATATATTAGAATCATTTCATTTCCATTAAATAACGCTACTAATATATTCAATAGTTCTCTAACAATGAACAAAGTAGGATACATAGATGTATGAAAAAGAATAAGTATTTATTATTTCAATATTATAGGTAAATATTTTCAAGTTTACTTCATATTTACAAATTTTCATGATCTTCTTTGTACTGGTTCTGTGTATGAATAATAGTCATGCATTGACAAATGATATTAATGATTCAGAATTTTTTGATAATAGTGAAGATGAATTAGGATTTCCTATTAATCAACATAATTCAGTTGATATGAAAAAATTCATTCCTGAAAATATTGCATTAAGTCGAGATAATGTTTGGTCTCGTTTATTTCACAGTGAAATTAGTCAACCACGAATTACAAGTCGTTCAAGTTATCCATCAAAAAAATATGGTCTTACGTTTCCAAATGGTCGAACATACATTATACCATTTGATAAACGTACAATTCCAATTAAACTTCAGAAAGCTTTTTTTGCTCATGGAATTGTAGGTCGATGACATTAAAAGAATTTTGATCAGAAATATTGTCAAAGGTTTTTTTTTTCATATGGTAAATAAACAACCGTGAAATGACATTTTTCGATGTAAATAATATATTATCAATCTAATGATTGTTGTTATAATAAGCTAATAATTGTTTCTAAGGTCTAATTCTATACCTATAAGTTCCAACACTATATTTATTAATTCATCGGTTAATATCATAATGAATCAAATAGAAGTTTAAATTTTCATTAGTTTCGTACATCTTTTTTTTTCATAGAGTTTTATTATTGTTAATGCTTTTAAGTAAAAGTATTTTATTTTGCATTCACAACAAAGTACGATTTTCATATTCTATCTAGCAAATCAAATGTGAATTGTTATCGATGATATTTCTATTCATCAAAAAATTTGATTCATTTTAATTAAGATGGATTAAATGTTCTCTGTAGTAGTTTTATGAACGAGGAAAAATCCTATGTCAATGAACAATAGTATTTGCTAGTTATTTAATTACATCTAAAAAAGTTTCACTACTAGAATTTAGAAGCTCTTTAATGAATAATCTCTATCTGATGCTGCCCTCTGTCAATGTGGTATGCATGACAACTCATAGATTAAATTTTTGATGATGGTTGTTGATAGTAGCTTATAAATAATTTTCTGTTCAACAAAATATCGTTCTTTTGATGTCTGAAAAGTAGGTCATATATTTTTTTTGAAAACTTTTATTAATATTATGTATTTATATTTGAACTTCATAGATCTAAAACTCGTCCATTGAGTGCCAGTCGTAAACGACGGCATCGTAATCGTCGTTCAAGTTTAAATGATGATTCACGATTACCCGAAAATATATCCAATTCATATCCATTATCATCAGAACCTAATATTCTTTATTCTGGTGTAGATCTCCGTACAACAAAAGAGAAAATCGAAAGTTTAGAAAATGAAATGAAACTACTCAAAGATGATTCAACTGTATTTATTTATTTATTTATCTTTCTTATTTCGAATAAAATTTTTCTTCTATTTTATTTTTCTTTTCCAGCCAGAAGAATATCTTAATGCGCTTGTCCTTGTACAACTCTATACAAGTTTTGAATATGGTGAAATATCTATTGAAAATGCTCGTACTTATTTAAATTTAAGCAAATTCTATCTTGATAATAGAAGTAATTTCATTTTTTAAATATAAAAAAAAAAACAAATTATCTTTTTGTTTTCTTTTTTCTCTATGTTTTATTATACAGATTTATTACCTCAAGCTAAATTTCATATTTTGAAAGCTCGACAAATTCTTGAACAATTAAATATAAAACCTACTGATGATCAAATCATACAAAATTTACTTGGTTTTGATATATATTTTTTATTAATTAAATGTTCTTTTTATGCAAAACAATATTCATCTCAACGTGATGTTAAAATAAAAAATAAACATATTCTATCAATTGATACAACACATATTGATCATGATCTTTTTATAGTTGAAGAATATTTAGAAAAATTGAAACATTTAATGAATTCAAATGATTATTATGAAAAAAATATGGATTATTTATTAATTAAATTTGATATAATTATTAATAATTTAAGACAATTTGATTTTAAAATAAAGAATTTAATAATAAATATTATTGAAAATATTGATAAATATTCTTTAAATGATAAAATAAATCATAAAATTGATATTTATTTACGTTCAGGATTCTATTTAATTAATTTTGATGATCAAATTGGTGAAGGTTTAAAAAATTATAAAATAGCAGTTGAATTAGCTGAAGAACAAGAAAAACAAGAACCATCAGATATACATAAATGTCAACTTGCAAATGCAGTTTTTCAATGGGGAAAAGCACGAGTAAAAATTGATCGTTTAAGAGGTAGAAATTAAATGAATATTTTATATTCATTGATGTTTATTTGTTTTATTGTTTTTCTTCAGAAAGTACAGAAAGAAAATTTAAACGTGCAATTGAATTATATCGACAAGTAAATGATGAAGATGATGCGAATGTTTTAAAAGTAATCGATGAATTAGCCACTTATTATACGAAAGTGGAAAATTTTCAGGTTTGTTAATTCATTTGACGTCGATAAATATTCTTTCTAATAAAAAAAAATGTCAACACAGCTCCTTCGAGGCTAAAATGTGAAACTTAAAGGCATTCTTTAGCCTTATTATATTAATACAAAATAAAAATATGTTAACGAGAATACCATTCCAACTGATGCCTGTCGCTTAAGCTCATATTGGACACGAAAGTAGGTCTCAGCAAGACTAGAAAAGGCCTAAAGGATTCGCCCTCATGAAGATTTTGGCGCTGACATATGGCCGATTTACTAAATTTTCAATCCATTTTTAGACACTTCGAAAAATCAAATCATCATGAAGTTTTGATCCAACATTTTGCCTATAAAGTGCGATAGTGACTCTTAGAATATTCTTCCATCGAGATATTGAATTTTTGGATGAATTCGATTTTTGTCAGAAAGGACTCTTTTCTTTTAAAAATTCAATATCTTGACGGAAGAACATTGTTTTTTGGCTGAAACTTCCAAGATAATTTCAGAATCATTAGATCTATATATATATATATAAAGTTTTAGATCGAAACTTCATAATTTGATTTTCCGAGAACTATCCACAAATGAGTCGAAAGTTCAGTACGTTGGTTATAACTCGGTACCAAAGATCCAACGGGGACAAGCCTTTTTAGGCTTTTGCTAATCTTGCCAAAACCTTCTTCTGGACTTGATATAAGTTCAAACGGAGGATATCAGTTTGAATAGTTCTCTTGTAAGTGAGGCAAATAAGCCTGTTGTATATATCCATTATATCTACGGCAGGCTTCAACATATTATTATATATCTCGATAAGCTCACAAACACTGATATTGGTGATTATCTCAAGTTATAACTTGATTAGTTCATGCTTTTTTTATTAACTATATGACGACTGTAGTAAATCAATGCATCATTCCTCATCATCCTTGACTTTTCAGATATTAATTTTTACCCGCACAAAAATAAAAAACTGCACTATTTAGAACACTTACAAAGGTATTCTAATTTTGAGAAAGGCTTTGAAATGTTCTAGAACAGTCTAGATCTTGTTTTTAATACCGTTCAGTACCTTTTCATGTTTCTAAGGAACTCTGTAAAAAGAATCTAACACCTGCTGTCCTCGGTTGCTATGAAAACATGGCGTTAAAACTTCGATTTAAATTTACACTCCCTATTTTTTTTCGAAAATATATGTACGTTTCACAAAAGTATTGACTTTTTTTCTATTTGTTATGAAAATAATATCATTTGACTGAAAGATTTGTCTATGATTTAATTTAGGATGCCTTAAATATACTTCGTGATAGTTTGCCTGATAAAAAACGATTATTTGGTGATTTTTCAGAAGAAGTTATTCAAACTGAATCACGTATTGGTGCTATTCATTTACGTGAATGTGAATATCTTGATGCAGCTGAACATTTAAAACAAGTAAATAAAAATAAAAATAGAAATTTTTCTTTTTAATAAAATATATATATATTTTTTTCGTTTTAGTGTCTTGATCTACAAGAATTTGTTTATGGTCCAAAAGATTCAAGAACATGTCAAACAAGAGATGCACTTGAAATTTTAAAAAAGTATGCTATTATATATGTAAATAAAATATTGATTTGTTCTTCTCTTTTTTATTTAATTAATTATAAAGAGATCCGACGGTTTCTCGAACGTTTTTCTCTCGAACACAAGATGGAATACGGCAAGATCGACCAGCATTTCGATTATCAAATAAAGTTTCACATGAAAAAGAAGATCATGAATTGTTATTAACTGTAACAAAAAAACCACCTATTTATTCGAAAAATTAATATTATCTTTCGATAAATAATTTGTTTATTATGAAATAATAAAAGATGTATGTTTTTTTACCATATTGCTTAATTAAAAAAATATTATGCATTACTAATAAAGTTGGAATGAGAAGTGAAATAATATTTTGAGGAAAGGAAAATAAAACCAAAAGCAAAAAAAGAAAAAAATTTAAATACTATAACGTTCTGGTGCTACTTGAATAAGTTGATCATAAATTTGTGGAATAGGAAGTTTTTTCAAATCATCTATAGTCGATTTCGAAATTGGAAAACCCCAAAATTTAAATAATGGTACTAAATTATGACCAACTTGTCGTGAAAATGTTGTTATCCAATAATCCATTTTTTCTTGATCTGAACCAAGTTTTGGTTGTATTTCTTCATATTTACGAAATACATCTTTATAACTTGACCAACCATATTCTCGAATTAATTGAGCATAAATAAACAAAGCAACACCGGGTTTTTCTTTCCATTCATTAAAATTTGATCCTTTTTCAATATATGTTTTTGTACTTGATATTTGATCTTGTAACCATGTATGTATCCATGGTTCAAGATGACAAACTTTATCCATAGCATGTAAAGTAAATATATTTACCGTTACTTCACCAGTACCTTCAAATGCTAGATAAAAATAAAAAGAATTTTCTTATTTTACTCAGAAGAAAAAACAACCGATTGAATACTTACTCCACCAACCTTGCTGCATATTATGTCCCAGTTCATGAAATAAACCCCAAGCACCATTTGTTTCTAATTTTTCACTATTAAATATAAAATCTTCTGAATTCGAATCACATACATCCAAATGTGTAACAACTGGATATCCACTATCTAAAACAAAAGTAATTATTATTATTATTATTTTTTTGTTTGTTTTTAATAATTTGAATGTAAAAAATAGAATTCTTACGCATATAACCAGCTGATGGTTGTTCATCACAAACAATACGTTCACGATGTATTGGTTTTGTTCCACGTAGATCATGATGAGCAAGAACAATCGAATCCCAAAATTGTATAACTCGATCCAATTCAGCAGATTTTAAATGTATTACACTTTTAGATGGAAGATTAAATGCAATATATCGACCAGATATATCAGCCCATAAACCAGGTGCATTAGAACATCTATATTTCCATAGTTCAGCACGATTTGGATCTGTTATATCATATGTTGGTGTTAAAACTACATGATGAAGATTAACAGAAATCGAACTTGATCCATCACTAGAATTTTGAAAAAATAGTAAACCACCAAATGCTGAACTCATTTTCGTTGTTTTATTTGATAATGGTCTACATATTGAAATACAAGGCCATCGACGGAATTCATCACATCTCTATTTTTAAAGAAATATTTTATATATATATATATTCTATTACAAGAATAAAAACTTTACTCCAAGATCATCACTATGACATCCAATTCTAGCTGTCCATCCCGTTGGTCCTTTTTGTTCTAAAACATCAATCTGAATTGGAATACCAGCAGCAACATAATATCCTAATAAGAAAAATAAAAACAAAGAACCTATGTTTAAGCAAATTATATCCTTGTTTTTTTGTCGTTTCTACCTGTACAATACCATTCATTAGCTTTCGATTCTATACGACATTGAACATTTGTTAAAATATGTGGTGGTCGATCAAAATCTCCCGGAAAATTTCGAACACCTTAATTTCATAATAAAACTTTTTTTTTTTAATCAATTCAATAAATAGTTTTCTACCTGGCGCTTTAATACCCGGTAAAGCACACATAATACCACAAATTCCACTTGATTGTTCTCGGTGAGTTTTGTTTCGAACTGGACAACTTTGAGCTGGTATTACTTCTTGACCTGCATTCATAACAATATCTTGTAAAGTTTCAATTGGTACTCCAGGTAATGTATCACCTAATTCTTTAATAGCTGATCCAACAATAGCTAAATCTTGTGCATTATTTGGATTATCTGTTAAATTTTGAACAACATTATAAACATTTTTAAATTGAATTAAATCTTCTCGAAATTGTATTGGATTTGAACAATTCGCATAATTATCTGTAACTTTAACTCCAATATAATCACAAAAACGTGCAAATGGAAAATCTGGTAAAAGTTTGCCAGGATTTTGTTGTAACCAACCCCATGCTGTTGTTCCACAAATCAATGCACCACCACGTTGTAAATAATCACACTAGCAAAAGACAAAAGAAAAAAAACCATAATGAATTCATTTTAAATTTGAAAAATATTCTTTACTAAATCATTCATAAGTGTATCTGATTTTGAACGATGACCATCCCAAACAAGAATTTTTCCATCAGTTGCTATATCATGCATTGTTTTAGCTTGATTAATTGATAAAAATTCAGTTTCATGTCCTCTTGCAAGCCATTGTCGACAATTTTCCACAAATTGTTGATTTTTTTTTTCAATATTTAAAAATATTCCTGGATAACTATTATGAGCAAATACTAAACAACGACCTTGACCAAATCGAGTAGCAACAATAATAACATTATTTGAATCTGCACCACATAAAACCGCACGAGTATCATTTGTTAATGGAATAAGTGTTCCTGGAGCACCCATTTTTTCAAGTGAAGATATACCTTGAAATAAAATTTGTGGTACTTGATCAAATTCTGTATCATCCATTGTTTTTTTTTTATTGTTTACTTTTTTTTATACAAATCAAAAAGAATCAGTCGGTTATATATATCTATCAGTTGATTCAATAGAATGAATCATACATTTTTTTTCTTTTTATCGCAACGACCAACAAAAGAATAACTTCAGGAAAGAAAAAGAATTATATGAATAAACGAACACCATCTGCTGCATCGACATGTTGTTTCTTTTGCTTTTGGTTGGCTAGATAGGCAACAGTTGAATATTACTATATCTCAAAGAAAAAACTGCAATAGTGAATAAATAAACTTCTGTCGCTTGATTATAATATTTTTATATTATTATTTATTCATGAAAAAAATACTAAATCGATTATTTAAATGAATCATCGAGTATTTTTGTTGTTGTCAAAATTTGAGTACCATAGATGATTAGCAAAGTTTGACAGAAGTTGTAGACGTCAAAATACAAAAGTAAATATTATTCATACTTACCATTTGTCTTTTATATTTTGATCGTTAGATGATGACTCAGAAAAATAAAAATTATATTGGAATTACTTTTTTTACGTTCCAGAATATTAAGAATGATCATAAACATTAAATTAATCACGAGTATCTATTAACTAAAAGAATTTTTCTACTTTTATTGATACAAAACTAATTCAACTTAAGTCTTTATTTTCTTCTGTACTGAGAAAATAATAAATAAAGTCAAAATGTTAACTATAACAAACATATGAAGATGCATTTATGAATGATATGAACAATATTTCAAAGTGAACAATGTAATAGATAAGTGAATATGTTTTTCTTCGTACTTTAACATTCATATAAGTAGATATAATGGGAAGAATACACTTAAAATTCACCAAAATATTATCATACAGAAAAAAAAATTGATAATGAAGAGTAAATAAAAGAAATATTCACTCAAATACAATCTGATTTACGATTCATTCAAACAAGATGTTTATCAGTCAGAAAATAATTTCATTTCGATTAGTGTTGTCTGAAATATTTCTTCAACTAATATAAATGAACTTGGTCCATTATTCATGTATTCACAACACAAAGAAAATCTTCTTTTACCTAAATTTTCATGAATATATATAATCAATCGAAATTGAAAGAATCTATAAGAAAGTTCATACAACTTTGTATTTTAGTAATTTATCACCGATTATTCAATTACAATTTTGTATAAATACGAATCTTTTCAGCATTATTTTTATTCTTGTTTTTGTCGGAAATTTTTATAAAAATTTATTTTTAGTTGAATTATTAAAGTTGAACTTGTATTTGTTTCATTTGAAAAGTAATTTATTACGTAAATTTTTTTCATATTTATTTGATTCTGATGTAGGTGAAACGATTTGAATCCTACAAAAGAAATTATAATGATAGAATGTTAGTCATGTTGATTCTCAATCTACCTTCTCCAAGAAGAAATCCTAATTTGTAATAAAATAATTGTAATACATAGTTGTTAGAAAAAAAGCATATTTTTCTATGATTGTTCTTATGTATGCCATAAAAACTGCTTTCATAGAAAGCATAGTATTTGCAATTAACGTATGAGTGATGCCATATACAGTGTCAAGAAAAAAAAACATAAGATTGCTGCTGGGTAATTGACCAACTAATCGACTGTCAAAAATCAGATAAAGTAAAAAAGTACATCTATTCCTGCTCGAATAAAATCTTTGAAAATTTAGTGCAAGAAATCATTGACAATGAATATACAAATATCAAATGATAACCGTTGGACAAAGAAAGAAATTAAAAAGATATCTTAATGATCAAGGTCACTTGTCAAGTTTACAGTCAAATAGATGTTGATATTACGAATTCTATTCATTAAGTAAAATGTTTCCTAATAATAAAAAAATATACGAAAGATTTTGAATTGAGTCTGATTAAAACAGATAAATTAAGCCGTATACACGAGCTAACAATAATGTTACTAAGATAGAATACTGTGAAACTACCTCTCTAAAGAGCGTCGTTTATCTCACAGTCAAAAACGTTCGGTAATCTAGGATCACGGATTACGACTAAAAAAGAAACAATGTAACAACAACCATCGTTTTTTATCGCTTCCAACAGGAATTGGATCGTTTAGGATGCCATTTTGGATTGTTCAAATGATTGTGTTTTCATTCGTACATCTGCAAAATAAAGAGACAAACTGAAATAAATCAAAAGATAAATGTAGTTATTTCGATAACTATTGTTTATAATTATTAACGAAGCCTGCGTGATCTTTGTATTCTTGTATTTCAGTAAAAAAATTTCAGATAATCATTCTGATCAAATCGATTTGCTACAATAATTATGTACACATCCACGTTAGTATCACCACACGATACAGCATGTGTCTCATTCGTTATTGAAATAGGAGAACCAGGTAATTCAACATTTACAATTCAACTAATATTATTGAATAATATTTCAGGTACTTGAACGAATTCTTTATATCATCCATTTTGGTGATTACAGTGATTTGATGAAAGAAATCTACAAAAATTTATATACTATAATGATTTATTGTCAAATAATTCAATTAAGTTTGTTTTATTTTTAATATAGCCTGATAGCACGGAATTTCACACATTTATTAACGAAAGAGAAAAGTAATAATTAAATTTTATATAAGAAATAACCTGGTCATTTTATGTGTTCCTACTTGAAACATCGATAGGTACTATCTATTCTACTGTTATCATACTTAAATATCATCTATAAAGATGAAGAAACGTTTTCCAAATAGTTCTTAAAACAAATAATAACAGTAATGATATGAAATAATCACAGATCATGCCAATAGGAGCATTCGACACTTTTTTTGCATAACATCTTTTTCATTTCAATTCATTGTTACAGTTTGAATTTTTAGGATCATTTGCATTTTTGATTTTTCCTCCTATGTTAGATATAACGATGATAATAGTAATAATACAAATGATTTTCATGAACGTTTTAGTTCATTCTGTAAATAGGCAATGAAATGAAACAAAAAAAGTTGTAATCGATCCAAAATTTTCGAACCGGTTTGGCTCGGCCAATCCAAATTTTAGACGGATCTGATCCAGACGGTGAAATAATTTTTCAACTTAACAAAAGTCATCCGATTTATTAAGTGATCTTTACTGATTAAAAGCAATTGTTTTAAGAACAACTCATTGTTCTGTTTTCATTCAGATTTTTACAGCTCTCCGAAGAGAAATACTAAATTCTCACTATTTCAGCATGTTAATTCTTCGAGAGTTACATTTAGAACACTTCACCGACTGGAAAAAAATAGCCACATTCCCAAAACTTGATCCTAAAATTTTAATTGTTAATTTTGTTCCACTCATGTTCTACAGAAGAACATATTGTCTTTGTATGCATTAAAAATCTAACTTAAGCTTGATCACTGATAAAACATCAGTGCATTAATTGCAAAGGTCTAATTCATGTAATCATGTTGATTGTGCTTTTGTAAAAAGTAAAAAAAAAAGGCAATGATAAACAAGAACCAATGCAATTGATATTTTGAAAAAAACATTACTTTTTATTTTAATAAATCAACTAAATCTTGCTCTAATGGCATTTTATCAGGAAAAAAATCAGCATATCTAGACGATTGTTTCTTGACTATTAAAAACCGACAGTTCAATTTTTCTAATAGATCAGGTCGAACCGGACTAGCTATAAGTCTGATACAAAGAAAGAATGAGATTAAATAAATAAATTGATTACAAAGTAAGGCGATAGTTTTGATTCTCAAAACGAATTAGAATATGAGTTCACTCAAGAAAATAATTATCTCTCATTTTCTATGAATTATTGGTAATTAATATAGAACTTGAATCAAATCTGAGTGATCTATCTAATTTATTTCATTGCTTAATCGATTCCATAGATGCAACTATCTTTTAAACTTATATATGAGCCTGTTAAAAATATTAGTATAATTATTTCATATTTTGAAAATTGATAACATTTGTCTTTTTTAAAACTCCCACGAGTTTCTTCTTTCTACTAGGTAAACTTTTGTTATTTAGTTTATTTTTGGAACATTAATATTTTCTTTTTATTATTAATATCATTAGAACGAAGTCGCTCTTTTATTTCTTTGTCATCTTGTGCGGTTATAACCGATTTATAAATTTTTATTAGTTATTACATAATGCATCAATATCATTTATTCATCATAATTATTCATTTTTTATTTATTCATTCGTATATCGTAGAAAATTGTAACTGAATAAATCGATGAGTGAGCAATAAAAAAGTTGAATCAACTATAATGTCTCAATGACTCATAACATGAAAACAAATGACGGCAGAGAAAAAAGATAAGCATATTTGAGGGTGTTTGATTCTCTTACCTTCGATATAAAAGGGGAATGAAGCGAAGTACAAGATATTCAATTACAATTTTGATATAAAAACTAAACACAAACACTAATAGATACAATGCCAACTGGTACATTAGAAATTTTTATTGCTGAAGGACGTAATCTTAAAGATCGTGATATTATTGGTCAAAATGATGCATATGTGGAAATTTATTTAGAAAAAAAATATAAACAACGTACAAAAATAATTAAAAATTCCAATAATCCAGTATGGAATGAACGATTTACATTCAATATTCATAAGGGTGATGATACAATTCATTTTGGTGTATATGATGATGATCTTATTGGTCGAGATTCAGTTGGAAGTGGTAAAGTTAAATTGAAACATGTTTTTGATGATGGTAAATTTGATGAATGGGTCAAATTACCAGCTAAATTAGGTCTCTCATCTCATGGTGAAATTCATGTCATTATGAATTTTATAGTAAGTTAATAGTTAAAAAATTGCCTTATTTTTTTTTCAAATAATGATTGTTTTTCCTTTTCTAGCCAGCATAATTGATAATCCAATCACAAAACTTAATATGTCTGTTTGTATTTAATTTTTATTGTTATTTGTAAACAAAAATATTTCTTCTGTAACTAAATAAATAAAGTTATATGTTTGATAATGATTAGAATTTTGTATTATCTGGCATTGACAACAACAAAGATTGTATTGTTGTCTAAGTTTGACAGAGATTTATGATCTTCGATAGAAAATACAATGAATAGCATGTCGTCTTCAATCCACTATTCCTTATGTTTGACCGAAAAATCAGATTCATTTGATAGTTTTCAACTATCAGTCATTTTTTCTTACAAATGTTCCTGTCTTTTTTTTTTTACACAATTATATCATTGATTTTTATTAATATTTTGATATGATTCATATTGATTCTCTACCATGAAATATTTATATACTTATTCATTTGTTGGTAATGCGTCATCTGCGTAGGTTTAATAATCTACGACGTCAGTTTAATCCTACAAAGAAAAAAAGAACTGCAAAAAGATAAGATGAAGGACAAAATAACAAATGTTTTTTTTTGCACAACATGAATATTAATCCGAACTATTTATTTACATTTGATATCAATTTTTATTATCTTTTGAATTGAATTTCAATTATTAAAATTTGTGTCGTTAGTTAGATTTTTTGGCTCTTTCTATTCAACGATGAAAATCTTTATGTTGGAATTGGATAATTTAGTCTTTCTTGAGTTGATTTCAATACATTTAAAGTTTTTAGTTAGTGTATTTTGTTGATATGATGTTGTAGACATAATATTCAGACTGATTAAGATGATTTAAAGAAAAAAAAAATATTTACAATAAGTACATGTCACAGTCACAAATACTGAAGTATATGCATAGTGAATCATTTATTTGTACAAAACATCAATATATGAATACACATTAAATAAATTTATCCATCAATGAAAATTATTTTTGAACTTTTAATCATTTCTAACGATGAATGTTCTTAAAGCTGAATTTTAGACTTTGTTTCATCAATCATCCCGGCATCATTAGTATGTACTAACATATGACTGATTACCTTTCAATTTTTTGTAAATTTATTCTCCATTTTTTGTTTGTTTTATTTAGAAATTTAATTGTGTTTGTCCAATTATACAACATCATCTATCAAATTTTTCATGAAGTTCATTTTTAACTCAGAAATATAAATATGACTAAATTAGAGAAATATATTTTGTTTTTAATTTTCATTAAATTTCATAGATTTATTGAATGTTTGAACTAGATTGTTTTGTTTTTCTTTTAAAATCGAATTTTTCATTCAATCATACTTAACAGTAAAATCAAAGGTACTATTTATTGTTGAAAGATATTATCTAAGAAGTTGCAATAAAGATGATGATGAAAATTATGCTTATTTCGAAGATTATGTTATTGAAAAAGAAATTCAACATATAAATATAATTATCTAACTCAAACAAATCAACATGGAACGAAAAGTTTTGTATTTGATATTAATAAAATTATGAATTCATTCCATTTTTAATATTCACAATGACGACTTAGTTGTTTGTGTTTTGATTGCTAATAGAAAATGTTAATAGAAACATTAATATGAAAGTGACTTTGTTAGATAATGGATTAAATTATCTGGATAAAAGTTTAATTTATGGACAAATGGTGAAATTGATATTACTGTTAGTCATATTGTAACACTTTTTTTTTCATGCATTAAATTTATTTGGTGTATATGGAATAACTCATGGAAGAATCACTGAAAAAACATGAATATCAAAAATCAAAAAGCAGAAACGATACAAGTTGAAGAAAAAACATGTATAACTAGGATGCAAAACCACTGAAGAAATACGAAAGGGTGAATAATAAAAAAAACCAATGCATTCAATGGAGAACATAAAACTTTTTTTTTTGCTTAGTGAATACTTAGAATATAAATTCATATCAATTTCTTTCGTTTTTCATCAACATATTAGTTAACGCTCTCGTCCTTGTTCTTTCCAAATTCTTGTTTTTCTTGACTATTAACAAAGATTCTTTTTACATTTACTTCAACGTAAGATTTTTGCCCGAAACAACAGTTCTTGACTATCTGGCAAGATATCTATGTAGACTAAATCTTGATTGATTAGGTAAGAACTGCCGCACCAGTAAGATTCTTATGTCTTTGAATTCTTTTTTTTCTCAAAACTCATTGCTGATCCTTTTGAGTTAGTTGTAGTATCTTTATAGGTCAAGATGATTATCTTCTGTCGTTACTATTTTATATTTACCACAAGTTTTCAGTAAAATACATAAAAAAATACATAATACATCCCATTTCACGTAACGTACGAAAAGAAGAGATGAAGAACATTTATAATGGTTAGTAAAAGGAACAAAACACACTTTTACAGTCAGTGCTATTTATCTTGAAAATCACATAAGAATCTTTTAATCGGAAAAAAGAACATTATCTGAATTTCAAAGAAGCTTAAATATCCTGTAATTCTGTAAAGCTTGTTTTATTTTCTATCAATCCGACGAGATTTTTTTCGTCTTAAACTTCAAGCAAGCATCTTTTTTTCTTTTTTATTAAAAAAAATAACCTTAGGCGGACTTTAAGGAATCATAGATATCTTGTAATTCTTTTCAGGTTCTTAATTTGTCGATTAATTAGTCAAGATTCTTTTCATCTTGTGCTTTGAGTAAGATGTTTTTTTCTTTTCTATTGAAAAGCGCCTTACCTAAACGTTAAGATTAAAAAGAATCTTGACTGATCAATCAAGAAAAACAAGAAACTGGAAAAAAACAACGACAAGAATGTCGACTAGTCATACTTTATACATATCGCTGCTATAAAATTTAGTCTAATGAAATGTTTTTTTACGAAATTATTTGACAAATAAGTATTAAATTTATATTATCTATGTCGTTCACAGATATAAATCTTGATACGTGTCATTAGAAATATCAACGTTGTTACAAAGTCATCTCATTTTTAAATATCAGTCATGAATACTTAGGAACCAACCAAGTTAATGTGCACAGCTTCATTAGTAGCAAGTTGACAACATAGAACCGGTACATTTTCTGAACAGCACGGTGCCACTATCTTTACTTACAATAATATGATTTATCTATGTCTATGTGGATCATCATGACTTCAAGCTATTCGTAGATGCTATACTTTATTAACTTTTCAGGATTAACATGTGAACATACATGTTGCTGATTGCTTGTAATAAGCAGTGCATGCGTACATGATTATGACACGAACAGAAGTTAAACCGTATATGTATATACGTCTGAAAAAAAAATAATTGTGATATGTATTTTAAATATATCGTCATTATACAAACAAATTTTTAAAAAAATTACATATTTCTTAAGTGCTCAGAGTTTTCAATTATTCGGTGAATTTATGTTTTAGTTTGTACTTCTGCATTACCAAGACAGATTGAGTGTAATGACAATGGTCTCATCATCAGATTTCTATAAACTTCATTTTGTCACTATCATCAAAATTAATTATTAAAATTTTTCATTACTATAGAATTATCTTTTTGAAAAAAAGTAAGTACATATTATGAGAGAGCTTAGAATTCGATGCCATCTCATATATTTATCTATTGTATTACATTCATTAATTGAAAAATAATTTGAGTAAAGTGAACATACTCTCAACTAACAACTACCAAAAATTGTTACTTTTTTATTCTTGTTTTTTCAAAATATAACAACTATGAAAATAGAATTTTAAAAAAACAATTACAGATTCTGATAGAGTATGAAATTCTCCATTATCCTGTATCGTTTTCATTAATTTCCTATTTATTTGTTGTAACTAATAAATGCACGACAATAGATAAATATACAGAGTGATAGAGAATTTCAAATTCTATCATAGTATATACTTATTTGTTTTTAAAAAAGTATATTTATTACTGATGAAAATTTTTAAAAACTAAATTTAGTGGGAGTGACAAAATAAAGTCCGTAGAAATCTGATGATGAGGATGCTTTCGTTACGTTCAATTTTTTTTTTTGGAAATGCATAAGTGTAAATTAAAACATATATGTATAGACTGAGAGAATACTCCGAAGGCTTTCAGAATATGTAATTATTTCTTTTTTTAATTTGTTTTTATAACAGCTATATATTTAAAATACGGACTACAGCTATTTTTTTCGGGCATCTATATATATATATATATAGAAGAGAATATTAAAAAAGTTCTAAAAGACTTTGAACGCTCTATTAAGCATAAAAAATACACGTACTCTTTTCTTCTTAGAATATAGACTAAAAATTTGAATACAAATCTGACGTAAATGAAAAGTCATCCACAGGTTTGAATTCTATATTTGATAAAATTTTTTGTACTTTGATTATATGCAACTGACTTTTTACATTTTTCAACTAAATTTTCTTGTACGTTTTGTCTTTTGTTTTTAGACAATGGACTAAGTTTGATAAAAAAAATAATACAAAAGAATTTTATTTTATGTATTCATGAGAGTGCGTAGGCTTACAAAAAAATTACGCATTATGTGATCAATGAGATAGTAATGTATATATATATATAATTTAGATAGTAGTTAAAAGTAGTGCTTATTATTAATTGAAATATCAAAATAGAATCATAAATTTATCAAGATTATCTTGCATTCCATTAAATTATTTGAATAACATTTTCATAGATTTCAGTAGAAGTTCAACAAATACAACTGTTATAGTTTCTATTATCTTTCCTTTTGTTGATATTTTACTAGCTTCTAATACAATGATTGAATTAAAAAATAGTTTATTTCTATTCTGTATCCTAATATCACCTTGACTATTAGCATTGTTTGTCTCCGGAGATATCTACTGTGCTATAAATGTATTGTATTTGTGAATTTTTTATACATAAGACATTTATTCGAAAGAAATAGAAAACAAAAGAATAATATTGATGTCACGTATAAAAAGATATGTAATTATTCATATTGACTTCTCTTACTGAATTAAATATTGAGCTAAACCAACTAGTAATAATAATTGTTTCCGGTGGCAACTAACAAGAATCATCATCATAGAATTGGCAAATTCATTTCTCTCTTTGTCTTTATTTAATATATGCGTAATGTATTGAACAATAGCGAATTTTAGAAAAACGTTCTTTTTTTCTTGTTCTCATTAAATAAGTAGGCAAATAAATCCAATGTTATATAAAAATCTAATTAATTTATTTGATATGATCTTCTCATTTTAACACCTGATAGAATATTTTTATTATTAATATGAATTAATGTGTAGGAAGATAAAAAAAGAAGTGAAAGTTTTTTTTTAGTTACATTTTAATATATAAATATATACGGATCGAGTTTGTTGTTAATATCATTTTCTAATATTTGTGTGCACATTTGAAGATAACAGTAAAAAAAGTTAAATAAATGAAAACGGTAGTAGTTTTTGAACGCGTGATTTTTCTTTTTTCTTATTCTTAAAATGATTGACAGCAACAGAAATGACTGTATTTAACAAGAATCATTTTTAAAAAATTTATGTTGTCTTTTACAGGAAATATGACATGAAAAGAAGAGTCATAGTAAATATTTGATATATTACATTCTTTTATTATATTAGATTAACAAAAAATAGCAATGTTTTTTTCTTTAATATATATATTTAGATTTATTGATAATTTCGTTTACCATAACAAAATCTATTACTAATGATTCAGGTAGTAAAATTATGATGTTAATTTATAGAAAACTATTTTCTTCATTTTAGTTGATCTCTCATTCTACTTCAAATTATCATTTGTTGACTCTTTTTATTGTCCTTCTTATTTCTATCAATAACAATCAAATTTCAGCTTATAGTATCAGCAGTGAATTTGATTATGATCATCATGATCCAATCTATAATGATTTATCGTATGAAAACATTAGAAAAAATGAATTACCCATTTTAACAAATCCTAACAATTTATATGTACCCGATAGTGATGAAATAATATCAAGAAATCCTTGGTCTGAATTATTCCATCGTTATTATGCTCGATCCATTCTTACTCCAACATATAATTCATTCGCACAACCTGATTTTATTTCACGACGAGATGTAAATCAATTTGTTCCATATTCAATTGAAAAACGTCTAATTCCAATTGAACTTCAAAAAGCCCTTTTTGCTCATGGAATTGTAGGTCGTCGACGTTAGGTACGGGTTTTTTTATGAAAAGACAACTAAAAATGTTTCGTTTCCATTTTTGATCTATTACGATTAAAGAAAAGAAAATTATAAACGAATAAAATAAACAATACATTCTAACTTTTTCAAAGATTTTTTCATTGTCATTGATTACCATATTTACAGAAATTTGTTAAGTAAATAATTGCACAAAATTAGAATGTGTATTTTGAGATGTAATTAAGATTTTGTTAATATCCAATGACATATACTAGAAATTCTCTCTTTTTAGATGGAAATCACATGTGGAAAGAAATACGAAAATGAACATTATGCCGTTCATTCACATTTATATATCAGAAAATATGGTTATTAGTATTCTATAAAAGGATAAATATGATTGATGTAGAAAATACAAAGAGAATTTAGAATGGACAGAAAAAATGGAATATGAATCTTGTAGGATTAGAGATGATGCCATGTGTAATATAATTAACACTAAATTCAATAATTAATGAACCATCATGCAGACAATATTAGAATACAAATAGGATTCAAAACATTTTGTTAACGTTTAGTACGTAGAATTATAATTTGAATCTCATGTCAGAGATACATGACACAGAGAAAAAAAAGTTACGGATGGAATATATTGGATTACCTCGCATATTATTAGAATTTACAACTATCAGAGAAAAAAAACATAGGATAGCGCAAAGAATTAAGAACATGTAAATTGTATAGTAGCGGGTAGAATGAAGATTTCTATTCGAATGGAACCTGATATATACTTAATAGTAAAACATCATATGCAAAGCATCGATTGTTATTGAGAAAAATTCTATAAGTGATATCCATTATTTCGACAAATACCATGATCATTTTGTAATGATTACTTCTACTAAATAAGATTTAATGAAATTTCATTGTTTTTTCAAATAAATATGACGTTAATGATTATACATAATCTGTACATGGAGGTGCACAAATATTTTTATCAAAGAGTAAATATCATTGATGTGGAACGTAGAAAAGGCAGACTCTTGTCATACATTTGAAATTTTCCTTCAAATACTAAATTTAAAAGATTGTCACATAAGTTCTTTTTTTGTTCCATTAGAAAACAATATAGCAAAAATGAATAGAGAATGATGCGTTGTTCTGATCATTTGAGTCTGTTGAGAGTATCAGCAGAAGGTTAAATACAATAGAACGAGATGATAATAATACGTGTAAGTTAACTCTAGTGAACGTTGTTCAATTTGAGGATGTGAGTTGGAATGAGTAAGAGTGAAGAGAACACTCACACCTTGAATCAGACGCGCATACCGAAAAATTAATTTTCTAAGTAAACAAGATTCACAAATGTCGCAAAAACTTTGAACTGAGTTTCGAGACCCTTGAGCAAGATCAGAACATCTCATACTTTGTTTGATACAACCCTACGATGACGATGTCTACTGGTTCGAAGATATTCCTTCGAGACTTTGCCGTTCAAAATCGTAGATTAAGTGACTTATTTGTGATCTCTCGATCATCCGAAGACTTACGAAATCAAAACTTCACGATAAGACCATTGAACAAGCACGGAACTTCGTGTGATGCTTTGGATTTCTTGTCTTCTCATCTATCTAATTTCTATATTAGATAGAAATTATTACGAGTAGTCATTACATTTCGTTGACAAAATTGAGTGGTTTTGATATTTTCATGTCATAATAAATTCTAAACATGCCTGATGAGTCCCTTAAGCAAGGACGAAACGTCATGTGACGCTTTGAATGTCTTGTCTTATCTTGTATGCGTGAAATATGGATCTTTGCACCCGAAACTCACACCGTCTACATCGGATATCTATCGTCTTTTTCATCAGGGTTTTCGAAATCTTTTCTGGAATACTGTATAAATATATATGTTTTGTTTGTTATTTTTTCGAATCATTTTGAACAAACATAATAGATTCGAAGCGAACTGATAATCGTTCTTCGCTGGTACACATAAAATCTAGATCTTGGCATCTAAAATTCATACCCACACACACTCTTGCAGCAGTGCTTGCATCAACTAAATTTTGACTAAACTAAATCAGTTAATTTTATTGATGAAAATAGTCAAGAATAAAAACCTAAGCTAGCAGAATCAAAATTGTCACATTAGAATAACAAGAAATTCAAAAAGCTTCTTCGAAAGATTCTTGTGCTAATGACATTGAATAAGGATTTCGAAAAGTCAAAACTAAGTCAAGAAGAAGGATCGTTAAGGATTGAAGTATATGATTTTCAATAGAATGATTCAGAAAAGGAGTCTAAGCTAATGAGTAGAAAGTGCAATTCATGTAGTCATCAATTGTATCGGCTTGAACGACTGGAGTCATTAGTATTATTAGCAAAAACGCTTGTGAGTAGATTTAATAGTGTAGCCTTGTGCTAATAATTCATTGGGACCAACTATGAAAGCTACCATGAGTCCTGCATTCATGTGCCACTCAATGTGACAATGGAAGAGCCAAGCACCAGGATTATTGGTTACAAGCCGTATCTTGGCCCAACCTGAACCTGGTACGCTCACTACGTCTCGCTTTGTGTATGCTCCACGATACAATTGCTCCGCTTCAGGATTAGCCGAAGTTGATATGATCCAAAAGTTATGACCATGAGAATGAAATGGATGCTCACCCTCATCTCTGTTCTCCAGAACAATGTCAACGACGGCTCCATACGGAAATAAGTAGTGCCCATGCCCATCACTTTGTATAGCTGGTAATGGACTGTCGCTTGTTATGATTGGAGATGGAATGCCAAGTTCGTTAGGATTTGTTGCCATCTGATAGAGCAGTGGTACTTTATCGGATGTTAGGCATTTTGGCTTACCAGATTTATTGGTAGTAGTATCCAAAGCATGATCATATGTAACATCGTTCATATATCCACGACTGATGTTAAGGATATCCGGATGAATTGTGATGACAAGTTTTAGATAATGAGTTGCATCGGGAATTTTATTGTTTGCTTGATAAAATGGTCGAGCATGCAAGAGATTAGCATCTCGATCTCCTAAATCTGGATTAGATGATCCTGTAATTACTTGATTGGCTGGATATGTAGGCAAGGAATTACAGGAATCAAGTGATAAAATAGCCAGGTATAATGGATTGAAAAATACTGGATATGGATAACGTTGAGTTGCATATGGAGGAATATAGCTGCTAATATCAACTGGATACATATCTCGATCAGCTTTAAATCGAATGTAAATTGATTTTGTAGGTGGCACATCATCGGGTACAAAGCTTTGATCTAATTCATTCAAGTCCACAAAGCAAGAAACTCGTTGAGCAGCGTTGATAACAAAGGAAGAGACTGTGTATGGCTTTACAGGTGTTTGATCAACTTCAGTAATATGTAATAGTAATCCATCGATTGAGAAAGTATACATGGAAAATGCTGCAGCATTAATGATTCTAAAACGAATACGTTTTGCATTGGATGTTTGAACGAATAACGACTGAGAAAATTTGCCATTCACAACAATAGCATCAGGTATAGGTTCAATGCCTTCTGGATTTTTTGAACTTAGAAACCAAGATAATAACGTTGTTCGTGCAAGATCATTGTACCAATCAGCTACCATTAGTATACGTTCAGTGTCATAGTACTCTTGATTCGGCTCTACTTTTGGATGAATAATGAATGGACCAATTAGACCGTCTACAGTTTGACCCAAAAAGTGACCATGGTACCATGCAGTACCTGGAGGGTAAGCTTTGAATTTGTATGTCATTTCGGCATTAGGAGGAATGGCACATTGTGTGGCGCCCACCGCACCATCCATGTCTGGTGTACCCCTGTGAGAAATTCCATGCCAATGAATGGTCGTCGGTTGTGCAAGTTTATTGATTACACGAATCACACAAGTATCATTTTCATTTGCTTCAAGTAATGGGCCCGGATACGTATAGTTCACTGCTACGATCGGCTTTTTTGATGTACGATATGGAGTTATTGTGTCAATGATGAAAGTCCGCGATACGAAAGCCCCTTCTGTTGCCATCGCAGACATAGTTATTAGGAAAATCAGCAGAATTTCCATGGATTTCTTCTATTTGTTGATACACTAAACAAAAAACAGTGACCTATATTAAATTGTTTCTCTCATAAACATGATAGATAGCATCCACTTCGAATTATTCGAAATGAATCTTTGGGAACAGTTCAACATTATTGTACGAATATAATCATCAATTATTAACTTTCGAGAAACTATCCAGCATTGTTTCGGTTATGAATAGCAAAAGTTATGAAAATATAACTTTTTCTGATGAGAAAAGAATTGAACAACTTCTAAGGAAAACAAGGGTTTCCAATTAGTGTGCTGTTCAGCTACTTTTTTTAAATTCTCATCTAACTACTAAACATTTCTAACTGTTTGTAAAGATGGCAAATCCACGATCAGAGAAGTAGTATCTTAGGAAGAAAAAACATTTCAAGCTTCTTTCTTGATCGAATAATAAGCCTAGTTTTGATATGGCCAGAAGCTACGGCGAAGCCCAAAGAAGCAATAGTCGTCAAAACCAAAAAGAAATCTACCGATTTAATTTAGACTCAATGGCAAAAAATGCTGTTCACTGCTTTCGAAGAGTACTGTTTTTCTTTTTTATAGCATATGAATTCTCGTTAACAGAAGCCAAACTTTCGTGTCTGCTGTGGAGTTCGTCATAAACCGAATAGAAATAGACAAAAACAAATCACTCCTTATGTCTCTATGATCTTTACTGACATATGTTGCGAAACATCTCGTTCAGTAAGCAAAAATGAAAAATCCAATAGTCTTATACAATTTTTCAACAAAAAATTGATGTGATGACTTGGAAATTCCATCAAAACTAGATCATTCTTATGATTTCAGCTCAAAAGTCTGCTAAATAGATTAAATTGAAATGCATTCATTTTCGGATGAAGTTATTTTTCAGACAAATCATACATACATGTTGTACTCAAGAAAAGGAAGGAGATACTAAAGACGACACGTGAAGAATTCGTAATCATCTTAGAAAAGTATAAAATATATTGTTGCCTATAGAATATTTTAAAACCATTACTTCGTTTAAAATCTTTAAAGCGTTTTAAATGTGTAAAAATGTGCAGTTTTTAAGACTTTATTTTGGTTAAAATAGCGAGACGTTTTTACGCGTGTTTTTTGCAGTTGTTTGTCTGGCTTGGATGAAATATCAAAAAGAAATAGAATAATTAAATTTAATTGACAATTTAAGAAATTATAAATCAAGTGAAAGTAATTTAAATATAAAAGAAATTTAATTGTCTATAATTTGAGTTTATTTTTAAGTTTAAATTTCAAATACAACTTAATTTAAATAACGCATAAAATAAAATGAAAGTAAATATAAACTGACACCACTAATTCGCTCTGAGGGCATTATCGAAAGCACATGCTGGGCCAAATACTCACTTAAAGACAACCTCTTCGACGAGAATATCCTGAAATACTTTTTTTCCATACTGCATTGCAGTTAATCGAAGGAGAAAACAGAGGATTTCATGACTTCATGAGACTTCTGAGACTTCACAACCGAAGTCTCGATTGCTTCCCCTCTCGTAAGCTACTCAATACCCATTATCTAAAAAAATTCATGCAAACATACTATTTTCGAAAAGAATACATTACCTCCTTGTATTAATTCCAAATCTTGTTTGCCTATGACCAGATTACACTGCAAAGTAACGACGTTGTTCTATACATAAGAGCAAAGTACTGTATGGCTTATATATACAGAATCAGTGAAATTGGCCTTTGTGCATTCAACCGATTACATCAATTATATACGTATCACATATTATAGTCATACCTTTCATCTATTGTAAGCATATTTTCACGGCTTTGTTTTTTCTTTCCAACGTCATAAACAAAGCTTAATCGACGATAATACACGATCATCGCATGATTGGGAAAAATGCACCTTATATCACGACTTTATTTGTTTTCTTTTCATATTCAACGCATACCATATACGCATATCAAAGCTTCAGTAATAATACTTTGTAGCAAGCTACCATAATCCTGGGGGAATCAAAACGCAAGCATCACATTTAGAAGTGAATGACTGGCCTCCGATTACAAATTTCCGAAATTATAGGGATTTATTTTCTGAATTACACGGTTATTTTCGCTAAAAGGAGTAAAAAATTGACCAAAATTTAGGTATTATACGTCGAACCGCATCTCAAACATATATAATTTACTTGCAAGAAACAGCTATTCACATTTCCGGCTTTTTCGTAGAAAGTGATGACCGGGGAGGGGGGGGGATAGCGCCGCGAAGATTCCCGTATCCCCCCTCAGGAGATAATCAAATCTCGTGAAGCTTTTACACCTTTTTTGGCAAAATATAGGATTTTCAAAAAAAATAGGAATGATAGGACGAATCGGAGCCCAGGTGAATGAGCACATTGGCCGTCCAAAAGACTTCTGGTTTCCGTCCAACTATGAATTGAAGTCCAGGTTCCAATGTGAGTATCAGTACGAAGCACGGCGTCAGTCTCAGCCCAAAAGCCATTAACAGTTTTAGTCCAGATTTCAATCGCCCTATCAATGCAAACACTGTTTCAATCTTGGCCCTACTGCCATTATCATTTCTCTTGCAGCTTTTCATCTAGGTATCAATGCGGGACGTGGGTTCAATCTTGGCACTACAGCCATTAGCAGTTCTCCTCCAGCTTCGGACATCGGCATCAATGCGGGGAACGGCATCAGTCTCACCCATAGAGCTATTTACAGGAGTCTTTCAACTTCTCATCTTGGTATTAATGTGGGACACTAGTTCAGTCTCGGCTGTAGATTCACTGACAGTTCTCCCCTAGCTTTCTATGTCAACGATAATACGCAACACGGCTTCTATCTTGACCGTAGAGCCCTTAACAGTTCTCCTCTAGCTTTCCATCTTCGCATCAGTTAGAAGAAACTTGAAATATTGGCTCTAGAGCCATGATCAGCTTCCGCTCCGGTTCCAATCTCGGTAACAATGCAGGACAAGATTTTAGTTTCGATCCTAGAGGTATTAATAGTCTTCGGTTAGCTGTCGATCTCCGTGTGAAGGCGGAACACGCTTTACTCTTGGCCCTAGAGCCAACGATAGAGAATATTGATTCAGGTAATGAATGCATAAAATGACACGAGTTAAAGAACATGGTACTGTCGGGTACCATCAGTACTGACCGTTAGCAGTACTAGAAATGATAGTGTCACAGAATATCAGTGAACGTACTAAAGGGCGACTAGTATTGGGGCCGGCAGTGTGATATCCCGTGCACTTTCCTCTTTGACATCTATATGTAGCATGTCTCTTCTTCTCAAATCCTTTCATCCTTCTGCACCTCAATCACTTTCTTTTCTTCTCCATTATAACAAGTTGGTATTGATAATAATCACTATGATTGCTATCGGTCGTAACAATTACTATTCATCTATTATCAATAGAGTGCCAATATCAAAGACACAGCGATGAATTAAGCAATGATGGCGTATTTCTGATGTTTTTTTTATGTGTAAAGTATAAAGATAAATTAATCGTAAAGTAAGAAAAAATATCATTCTAGGTATCGTTTACGCATTAGTTTTAAATTTCTGTGTTTTGCTAATGATTGCTTTTCAATGAGCTGAGCTCTTCTTTTGCTTAAAATGTGTATCACTTTTTGGCTAATTACTTTTTTTGCGCATTCGCAAGTGAGCTGTATACTTTTTCTGTGACTTTATGAAATGAAGTTCTAAAGATGCGTTAACAAAACTTGTGTCTGAGTACATGAAATTAAACCTCTTTTCTTGTTCTTGGTTTTTGGAAGATATCACTGTAACCTAAATATTAATTATGAAGACTTTCTTGTGTGTTTTGTTAAATATAAAAAATTTCTGTATCATATGTTATTGATTTGATAAACTTAACGTCGTTTGTCTTTGGCTACTTTCGATTTGTCATCGTCATTTTTCTCATTTGTTTTACTGTTTCTTTCTGATTGTACAGACGCCCAGGAGTGCATCTAATCTGAGTGGAAGGATGTACCGACAATAAAAGCACGACCTGTGTACATTTTCTATTTATCCATTGTTGTCCGAGCAAGCGGTCACTCTGTGGTTAGATATTCTGACCTCATGACCGATAGTAGCTACCTCCTCATTCTGTCCTCTATTTATCCTTTCCTTTCTTCTCCTTGTTTCCCTTTTCGTATACATGCTTGTTTTCTGTATGAAATGGACAGAACTGGTGTAATGAAGCAGTGTAATGAACATCGTACACTGAGAATAGCGATAACGCTATTTCTGCAGTTTCTCAAGGTTGATCAACAATAAAATAAATACTGCAGTAGTAACGAAACCTTCTATCCATGCTTTTTCATTACAGTAGGGATGTCGGATGTGCCTCTGCTAGATTCTCTCTGGTTACATCACTTTTTATAAAACTACTGCTTTATGACACGTCACTTTCTGAAATTTCATGATGGACCGTATTCAAACACTCATAGCGTATGAAAGAATCAACTGTTTGTTTACTATTCATGCTCATATCGAACTGCTCGACAATATCATTTCTATTGATAAACAGATCAAATTTTTGATTATAAAAAATCGTCACATTTGAATAGTGAAAATTTGATCTAAGAAAAATTATTCTTTCATCAAACAGGCAACTTCTTATTTATATATTTTCATCTATGTTTCAGATGTCGTCTTCTTCCAGAAATTTTTCACATAAACAAATGATTCGTCAATAATAATCCACATATTATTTTTCTCTTTTCATTTTTTTAAAGTTTAGTCTATTCTATCGTGTTTTGATGCTCACAATACTTTAATCAACTTTGAAAAAGAATAATTTGGCAATAACCAACTTTTAGTTTAACATCACATTTTCCAATCGCAGCAATGCGTCAATATGTGTCATCAACATCAATTATAACTAATGAACACATTATCTATTATTTAATGAATGAAGATGATGTTGTAAAAGAAATGACAAAAATAATAAAAGAAATAAATGAAGTTTTAGGTTTATCATCAGTAACAATGGTACGTTTATTACTCAATTATTTTCATTGGGATAAAGATACATTGACTGGTAAAATAAAAATTGTAATTAGTTGAAAGATTGTTTTTTTCTATTAGATCGTTACTGGGAAGATCCAGATAAATTACTTCGTATATTGAATATTGCTAATCCAAACTTATCATCAACAGATGATTATAATCCTCTTTCGCCACCATCAAATGTTGATCAAGATCCATTATTAAAATCAACTAACCATGGACTTGTTACATGTAAAACGTAAGAATTATTCTGTTGATATAAAATGATTTGTTTTTTTTTATAGTTGTTATTTAGACAAACCTTTAAACGAATTTTATTCGTTATCATGTCATCATCAACATTGTTTAACATGTTGGCGATTATATCTTGAATCAAAAATATCACAAGGTAGCAATGGACAAACAATATCATGTCCATCAAGATGTAATCAAATTGTTGATGATGAACAAATATTTCAATTATTATCAAATAATAAACGATTAAAAGAACGTTATCAACAAATATTAATTAATACATTTGTTGAAACAAATCGTTTAACCCATTGGTGTCCTGGAAATGCATGTTCGACAATAGTTAAATTACAGTCTCGTTTAACTGATTGTGCACAAATGATATCATGTGATATGTGTAAAACAATTTTCTGTTTTCAATGTTTACAACAATGGCATGATCCAGTTCAATGTTCATTATTACAAAAATGGGAAAAGAAAAATCGAGATGAATCAATGACCTGTGAATGGATTGTTGCAAGTAAGTTTTTGTATTCGGAAGACAAATAAAAAAAAACTTCAATGTTTATTTCTAGACACTAAAGAATGTCCAAGTTGTCATTCAAGTATTGAAAAAAATGGTGGTTGTAATCACATGAGTAAGTCATTAATTTATTTTTTAATTAAAAATAATGATGTTTTTTTCTGTTTTAGCTTGTCGAAAACCAGGATGCGGTCATGAATTTTGTTGGATATGTTTAAGTATGTGAAAAAAAACTAGACTTTCTAATTAAGTATTGTGTAAACTCTGAAATTGCTTAAATGAAATGTAGAATATGTTTTTACCATTCAGATTAGTATAATACAGCAATAATAAATAATAAAACAAAAACAGAAATTTCTAGAAAAAGCAATAGATGGACGAGTTAACTCTACTAAAAAATTGCGTTTTATTCAGTCGAAATGTTTCAATATTAAAGAATTTATGACTATTCAGTTATGTATAAAATTTCAACGAGGAAGACACAAAAAGTTTACATCTCTAGAAATTTATTCTATGCTAAAAAACAACGTTCTTCAATTGAATTGATAGTTAAAATAACAGACTTTATAATATCACATAATTAATCTCATTTCTCTAAGAAATTCTTATCAAATCTTTAGACTAATACACTTATCTTCGCATACCTTTTTTTTCTTTTTAGATCCTTGGAAAGATCATGCATCTCGTCAATGTAATGTTTATCGTGAGGATGAAGCAAATAAATCTCAAGAATCAGCTCGTGAAAGTCTTGCACGATATATACATTATTTTTCACGTTATCAAACACATAATCAATCACTTGAATTAGAAGGTAAACTTGCAAATCAAATTGAACAACGTATACATGAAATGCAAGCTGAATCAATGTCATATACTGAACAACAAGCAATTTATAAAGCATTTGATGTTTTAAAACAATGTCGACGTACATTAAAATATACATATGCATTTGCTTATTATTTATATCGAAATAATCAAGCCGAAGTATTTGAACAAAATCAAGCTGATTTAGAACGAGAAACAGAAGCATTATCTGGTTATTTAGAACGAGAAATAGAGGCCGATCAAAATATATCATTAAAATTAATGGATAAAACACGTTATTGTGATCAACGACGAAAAATTTTACTTGATCATTGCAAGGAAGGTTATGCTGAACATTATTGGGCCGGTTTAGATTCGTATTGAATATTAAAAAAAAATAACTACTTCTTTCCTATTGTTTAATTGACCAATATTTGTTTTATTTTAACTGTGATAAGAGAAACGAATTTTTTTATTTATGAAAAAGTAAATATTGTTTGTGTATGCTTTATTTCAGATGACAAGCTATACGTTAGCAAAAAAAGTTATTGCACCTGTTAAACCAGAACGAGGTGTTTTTCCTCTTGATCATCAAGGTGGATTATCAATTTTTTATAATGATTAAACATATTTGTAATTATTTAGGTGAATGCAAAGAGTTAATGTTAAAATATATGTTATGTTTATCACGTAATGAAAGTAAACCAAGTAAATGTCAAAGTGAATCAAAAGAGTATTTTCAATGTCGAATGGATCGGTAAATAGAAAATTTTTAAATACTCTTGTTTTTTTTTTTTGTTTTAATTTGATTTAATATTTAGAAATTTGATGAAAAAACATGAATGGGAAGATTTGGGATATTTCAAGGAACAACAAAAAAAAATTACAGATTGAAATTAGTTGAATTTTTTACTATTTTGTTGTAATTTTACTAGAAATACAATATTAAAACAAAAATTTATTTTCTCTGGAAGAGAATCTCTTAATTTTACATATGTTTGTAACAATACAGAAAGAGTCATAGTGTTTCTAGTAAAATATAAAAAAAAACTATCCTCTTCGGTGAAGCATTTTAAGATAAAGCTCGGAAATGTGGCAGAAAAAAACTAATATACGTTGCTCAAATATTTTTTGAAATAGTGCATGAATGTGCAGATAGAATCAGTCTTTTTTTGTAACATCGTTTATATAATTCAATAACTACATCTTCATACAACGTCGGAGCTTGCTTCGTCAACTAGCAATATTACAGCAAAAAGAATATCTGAAATAATCAGCAAGATGTCTATAGTAAATGTATATGTTCATTTTTAGTTTTTTTTTTGTTAATTACTGCTAGATGAAGATATTTTTCTCCAATTTATTATCTGACACAAAAAAAAGAGAGAAAAAATAACTTATAATGAAAACTTTTGGTACTGTAACTCAAGATGACTGAATACATTCGAATTAAATGATCACTCGTACCGCCAAACTAACAAATTGAAAATGTCAGCTGCCCGTTAGAAGTCTAATCTAGTGGCCTTTTTTCAAGTATAGCATGCTTGTAGAGGCCTGTCTATTTTTTTCCATGCCAATATCATGATAATAATAGAATAGAATTAAATAATAATTTTTGTAGAAAGGCCAATAAGCCATTGAAATCAATTTAGATAACTACAATGAAAACTTTCTAATGTGAACATTCAAGAGAATATTTAAAAATGTTCACTATACAGGGTGCTCAAAAAGCAACAAAACAAAGAAAAGTTTGAATACATATCTCCGCCATATTTTGATCAAATGAGCTGATATTTTTACCACTGATAAAGGAGTATACATAGCTCATATTCACAAGGAAAACGATATCAAAAATTGTATCGAAGTAGTACAACTAACTTCAACAAGAAATTGTAACATTTTCTGAGTTATGAAAAAGAACACAATATATTTATTTGATTAGCCAAGAATAAACGACATGTAATTTTTTCGATTACTTCTTCACACTAGTGTAGTTTGGTCTCATATTAATACTACAGATACATATCTTGTTACTCAGTGTTCTCTGAAAGTTTCAGCCAATGACAAAACTGTAATATTGGTTTTTCATAACTCGTGAAAGATTAGAGTGTTTTGTTGAAGTTAGTTATACTACTTCAATACAATTTTTGACAACGTTTTCCTTATAAATATGAGCTATGCATACTTCTTTATCAGTGGTAAAAATATTAGCCCATTTGGGTAAAATATAGTGAAGATATATGTTCAAATTTTTCTTTGTTTTGTCACTTTCTAGACACCCTGTAGATTTAAAACAGTTCAGCTGTGTTCAAAAGCACCGTTGAACATCAAATTATGCGTTAGTTAGATGTAAATCCAAATTCCAACCTAAGGTCGAAATCTCAGTATTCAAATTTAAATACGAATAGCAAGGCTTTAGTATAAAATACTAAGTCTGTTCCGGATTCATTGCATGTTTAAATGTAAGTATACCTTGACAAGAATTAGTACGAACAAGAAAAGTTCATAATTTTCTTGTATTTGATTTTAAATGTGTGCTTGCTTCACCTCTCTATTTTCATTTTCTACAACGTGTGACTTTTTACGCTTTTTATTATTACATATGGAATATTTATACTATTTCTTTTTTTTTTCTATTTCTAAATGAATGAATATTCTTTCTTTAATGTATCAACTCAGTCTGCTTTTCTACATTGGAAAAAGCATTTTGTGCTTTTATTGGAATAAAATATGAAGGGAATGGTAGAAATATTTCGATTTTTATGTCAGCATGAAATATCATCTTCAGTTTATTTTGTTGATGAATAATATCGTATTGATCTAGAAAAGCTTGACTGAAATACAGCGAATTTACTATTCACTGGAGTTGAAATTTTTATTGTTTATATTTTGTCGGAAACATCCTGTTGAACAACTCAGTTTTCATTAAACGACCATAGTTAGAAACTAATTTTCCACAAGAAATTTTGTATTTTTCATATTTGTTCATGCTGTCATATATTTCTGTCACTAAAGTGTGTTCATGTTGTTACCTCTTGCTTCTTTATCTACTTTATTGATTATTGCTCTAAATCATCTTTCTCATGGTGTAAGTTCATCTAAAAGCAACACCCACACCCTTCGATATTCCAACCAAATCACTGATGATAAAAATGCAAATGCGGCATCTACCATTATAGTCATTCTGAGTTGTTATGGTTTCTATTTCATGGAATGACTATTGATGCTACATTAAGAAAGTTAAGTTCATTTGTTACGAAACAAAAATATATAAGACGATTCAAATAAGGAGTCTACAAACCTTTTTGTGTTGAACATTTTTGTCTTTTCTATTTCGTCAATCCAAATTAGAATTGGCTTCGTTAACTTCTTAAAAAACAGAATTCGCATGCAAATATGAAGTAGAACATTAACATTAAAAGTTTTTTATAAGTTCTATTGATCTAAATATTCAATTCAATCCTATGTATACATTTATTTATTATGAACTAGAGTATATCAGATCAAGTTAATTTTGCTTGTTTGACAAAAAAAGAAGGATATGAAACAATGATAATAATACACATATAGAATAAATTAAAAAATAAACATTGCTAGCGAGACAAATACAATAATTGATTCTTTTCGAGTACAAAAAAAATATATTTTCTTTATAATATAGATCAAAGTTTAAACAGTCTTTTTTTGTTCATGTGATTTTTGATGAAAAACAAATGAAATAACATCATCACGCCAAATTTGTTTCAATAATTGATCAACTAAATTACGTTTATCCCAACAATGATACCATTGTGATAAATCACAACCACAATCAGCATCATCGGGTGGTAGTTTTATTTGAATTTGATTCATGCATCGTTTACATTTAAATCTAATTTAAAATAAAAACAAAAAATAATTTGTCGCCAAAAAATAAATTAATTACTTGTCATGAGTATCACTACGAGTATTTTCATTAATTCGAAATAAATCTCGTAATTCATCAGCTGTAAAATGTCGTTCAACATCTTCTTCTTGATCAACTACACAACTACTCAATGCTTTTTTATGTGCTTGTCGTTGAAAAATTTTTTCTTCAAGTGTACCCGTCTAAATTGAAATAAAAAATTTGATTCATTAACTAATTAAAATATTCAAATACCGAAATAAGACGATAGATATAACATTGTTTTTTTTGTCCATCTCGCCAAACTCGAGCCATAGCTTGATCATCATCTATTAAATAGAATAAAAATTTATTCAATAAAAAAAAAAAATTCGTTTCTATAAAAAATATTTACTAGCTGGATTCCAATCAGGATCAAACATGACTAAACGATTAGCACCGATTAAATTAAGACCACAACCGCCTGCTTTACTACTTAACATGAAGATAAAATCTGAACTCTAATAATAAAAATAAAAATAATTTTAGAATTTAATAAATAAATAAATAACACTTACTTCTGGATTATTAAAACTATCAACAATTTTGCCTCGTTTTTTAATTGACATTGAACCATCAAGACGAACAAATTGATATCTAAGAAACAAAAACAATGAGAATGATCTTTTGTTTTTTCATATTAGAAGTTTTTTTTTTAAATTTCCTACGTCTAGGGAAATTTTTCGTTGCAGTCAATGGATCTGTATCTCTGATTAGTTCAAAGCCGAATAAAATACTCATATTCAAATATTTAAATATAGAATATGCTTCATATCAAAGTGATGCTAGACATATACTTATGTTCTGCTAGAATAAAATTGACAACTCATTTTAATAGTCAATATATCTGCTAGATATTTATAATGTAAAAGGATTGAATACAGTTTTTGACTTATTTATATTTGCTTTGTTCTTTATTAGTATTTATAAGGTATAGCCTTATAGGATAATGCTTATTGATATTCAGAATACTGCATTGGAATAGTATTCCCAACAAAAACAAAATTAACGAAGAAACATATGTTTTTTGTTTTCTAAAAATGATTTTTCAGTAAAATAATATCATTATGAAGATTTTTACATTAAAATGTTGATATTTATTTATTGTATGAATTAAAATGGCTGCGTTTTCCACAAAAACAAGGATTTGACAAAGACAAAATTAGTGTTTTCTAGAACAATTCGACATGTTCTATAGTCTGGACAGGTCAAACAAACATTTTGTCAGTCTATAAAACTAGCATATGAAGACTTAAGAAGATTTTTCATAGCCACATTCGAACTCAGCATAATCAATAACTTAAAAATCCAGTAGTTTTCATTAAAAAAAACCTCATTCAGTATGAAACCTACCTTCGTTGTTGACATAACTTTTCAAAAATATCCAATGTTTGTGTATAATTTGAAACAAGTACTACACGATCATCAGTTGTTGCTTTGATAACAGCAAGTAAATAATCTAATACAATCATTTTACCTATAACATTCATTGATTTATAAAAAAAAATATTTTTGAAAAGAGAAACAAAAAAAAAAAATTTTTTTTTTCATCTTACCCGATAAAACTGGATCAATTGTTTTCATATTAAAACCTGATGGAAATATAGGTAATAATTTAGAAAAACCATCTACTTTTTCTAAACATTTTTCAAAGATAAGTGCTGGATCTAAAGTATTGATTTAGTTTTTAAATTTTATTATAAACTATAACAAAAACAAAAGGAAAAATTCAACTTACGATTACACAATTTCTTTAAACTTGTAATAACAGATAAAGCTGATTGTGAAAATTTTCCATTTGATGATCCAATTTCTGATATACCAGTTTCAACAAATTTTTTATATAATTCAATTTGTAATGGCATTAATTTACAACAGATAACTTGTTCAACTAAATAAAAAAAAAAGGCATAATCTTATTTCAATTAATTCATTTCAAACTTCTTACTTTTAACCGGTAAATATTTTGTAAGTAATGCTTGTGTACGTCGAATAATACATCGATTAACTAATTGATTTAATTCTTGTAATTTTTCTTGAGCTTGTTGAACTTCTTTATCACTACCACCAGCATCACGACCACGTCGAATTGGATTTTCAAATCGTGTTCGAAATTCACTAGCTGTACCTTTAATAAGTTAAAACAAAGAAAAAAAACTCTCAGTTGAGAACAATTTTTTTTCTTTCTCATAAATCTTACCAAGAATATCACTATTAACAAAATGTATTAAACTAAAATATTCAAGTAAATCATTTTGAATTGGTGTACCAGATAATAAAACACGTCGTCGACAATCAAGTTTAAATAATGCATCATAAGTTTGATTTTCAGCATTTTTTAATCGATGTCCCTAATATTTCTATAAGATTAATCTTTTTTATATAGATTAAAACTTACTTCATCACAAATAATTAAACCAACTGAACCTTTATGAAGAACAGCAGCATGTGAACGAAATGCTTCATATGATATAATTAATACTGGATTTCCTGAACGACGTGTTTGAGAAAGCATAAATGTTTCTAAATTATTTTTCGATATATCTAATCTTAATAAAAAAAAAAAAAGAATTAATTAACTTACTAAGTCGTGTTTCAATTTCTGATTTTGTACCATTATCAATAGGTAATGTACCAAGACGACCATTTAACCATTTATATACTTCTTTATCCCAATTCTATAATATAAATAATAATGTTATTCTGATTAGATGAAGTAGAAAACAAAATACTGACTTTAACTAATGATGCTGGACAAACAATAATTGCTTTTTGAATTGTTGGTTTACAATCAGGTCCTTGTTGCTATGAAAAAAAAAAAACTTAATAAAAAATTTTCATAAAATAAAATTTACCAATAATGTCCATAAAAGTGTTATACATTGTAGTGTCTTACCAAGACCCTAAATATATATATATATATTTCAAAATGTATTTATTTTTAATATTAATAAAGGACAGGCAACTTTAAAGAAGCTTTCTATTACTAAAACTTTTCCATACAAAATGAAATAGGAAAAATATATGATCAGAGTAATCTTCTCAATTTGATCCCTATACGTAGGGCTCATCAAGTCCTTACATACTCGACATCCTCGCTAGTAAAGTCCATCGAGTTAGTACCAGATTTGAATCTGATCGAGTTCAGATATGAAAATTTTGGACCCGATGAGCTCTAGTCGTCTGAAAAATGTATAGGATATGCTAGTCATCGAATAAAAAAAAATTAGAAAAAAGTAACTTGTATCTTTAGAACGACTATCCACCTCCCGGTCGAGCTACCACTGATCACGAATTCAGTAAAATTTGCTAATTAGCTCTCAAGTCACTTCAAAATCTTTCGATCAAAGGTGTTGATTACTGTTATTGATTAATTACTTACCATTTCATCAGCCATAATACAACCATGATAATTTTCAATTTGAGCGCCTGTAACACTATCATAAAGAAATTTGACACCCTACAATGACAGAACATTTATTTTTAATACATAAATAATAATCAAAAAAAAAGAAATTTTACTTCACGTTGATGTGGTCGAAGTATTTTTGATAAAACTGGATCAACAACAACATGAACTTGTACTTTATCTCTATTGAATACAAAAACAAATAAATCAAGATACATTTTAAATTTATTAACAAATTTGTTTTTTACTTGTCAATTTTAAGTTTATCATGTTCACTTAATTCTGGTGGTGTATACAAAACAAGTGCACCTTCTTCTTCTGGATCATATAAACTTTGTCTTCCACCCGAACGTCTTACACCTAAACCACGACCTGATATTGGTCCTTTATAATTTGGTATTGGAATTTTAAATGGTTGAGCAAGTAGTGATCGAATAAACGATTCCTATAATCAAAATTTATCAGTTTCTTCGTTTCTTATTTTTGTTTACTTACATGTTCACTATTACTACTTCCAAAATTTATTGATGAATAATTTCCAATAGGTACAAGTGCTTTACGAAACGAAGATATAAATTGACTTGTATCATAACCTTTATTTGAAATTTTTGCATTAGCATAAACCTTAATTTAATAAGAAAATTTAATTGAATAAAATTAATCATTTTGTTTTTCTTTTCTTTTACTTTTTTCGGTTTTTCATTTCTTTTACGTTTTCCATTTCTTTTCAATCCATTATCATCATCATCATCAGTATCTGAATCATTTTCATAATCACTAGAATCAATTAAACGTTTCACTGCTGTACTTGGTGCAAGACTTCGTCGCTAAAAATAAAAACAATGAAATTTTCTTTTTTTTTTTGAAAGTTTTCTTTATAAAATTTCTTTTTACCATTCTTTTAACAAATAATGAAATGATCAAATTAATAACAAAGAAGAAACTACCGCTTGTTCGTTAACAAGATTATCTTAATGACATCTATCGAAGTTAATCTATTGATTGGTTAATAATAAAAATTGTTTTTTTTTTCTTCGTTGTCTTCTTCTCCTCTCTTACCTCACCGTTTTCTTTTTTTTGTTATTATCACTGAAGCATACTGATTAATGCATTTTTTAAAATGATATCAACAACATTTGAATATCGGTCTCATTCAAGTGAACGTTTATCACCTTCAAAAATTCAAGATCCATCACTTCGTTCTACACGTTCAGCATGTGCAATTCATATTAAATCAACAATATCTTCAACACCAACAACAACATCATCATCATCATCATCATTTTCACTTGATAATGAAACAAAAAATGAAAATATAATTTGTTCATCATTATCAACTCATCAAACAAATTTAGAATATTTTCGTAAATCAAATTCACTTGATTCCGGTTATAAAACATTAAGTGCAACTAGTCATGGAACATCACATACAGATACAATCGATGAAGAAAGTGAACGTATTAATAGTTTTTTACAAATAGCATCTTCACCATCATCTTGTTCATCATCATCATATGCTGTATCAAATACAAATAATAATCAAAAAATCAATTCTAAAATTGAATTTATTGTTGATGATGAAGATGATGTTGATGATAAACAACCAAGTGTATCAGGAAAAGATTCTAAATCAAATACTGACGGTAACAAAACAAAAGGCAGAATTGTTTTCTTTTTTGCTTTAGATTAAAATTCGTTTTGTTTTTGTTTTTGTAGGATTATCATCAAGTGGTGAACGTCGATCACGTAGAAATAGTCTTTCAAATTATTCGGTATCAAATTATAGTGTTCTTTTGAATGAATTTTATTGTATATCATCGGATCAAATTAATCAAACAATAAATGATGAGAAAATAATAAAGAAAAAAAGTGGTTTTGCTAATACGGTAGCAACATTTTTTTTATCAAAAAAGAAAGAAGATGAACAACAATTATCTATAACACCAACAAAAAAATTCAATCGATCAAGAAGTGTATCAGAAACATCATTGGAAAGAACTACGATCAAGTAAGAACTATAGAGAATAAAGTTACATGATCTTTCAAAAAAAAACACAAAAACATTTATAGAATATTTGATTGGTATTTATAAATTAATTCACCTATATTTTTTTGGATTAAACTCTGAGATGATCTAATCCTTGACCTTTTCTCGATAGTTTCATTGCTCTATAATACAACTGTACGTTATTATAATAAATACAGGCATCAGTTCGGATAGGAGTCATAAACGAAATTACCATAACATGTCTCTAATTTGATCTTCTTTTGATCAAATTATCAGTTAAATATGTATATTGCATGAATGTAAAAAAAATTGCAATATTCATATAAATATAAACATGTTTGTGAATCTTTGTCCTTTCTTGATATGAATTAAGTACCGTAGATAATGAATATTTTAATATTGCGTACTAATCAGTTGTTTATTGTAAGAAAAACATTTATATCTAAAGACGTTTGTCGACTGATAAGAAAACAACAATTTTTATCAATTTCTCTTTTTTGTTTTGTTTTGTTTCGTATTACTATGATTAAATAAAAAAAGAAATGAATTTATTTAACAGTCATAAAAAACTTATACTTTTTGTCTACATATAATTTAACACATGACCTTTATCATTCTTATCGTATGGTTGTAAATAAGTTTTTTTACTTCTTTAGTCAAGATTCGATAGAACCTAAACGAACACTTTCAGCAGAAAGTATTGATGAACAAACAGATAATGAAGGAAAATCAAAAAAATTACCAACTACAACTACTTATACTATTCCATTAAAAACAGAAAAAATTTCTACACAATCTCTTCTAACAACATCAACAACTAATAATAATCAACAAACATCATTATCACATTCATTTAGTTGGTTACATCGTCTTTCAAATCGTTTTAATTCTTCAACATTAACAACACGTACAACAACAGTAACAGCAAAAACAAGTAGTACTGGTTTAATATTTGAAAATCGTCCTATAAATTTACCACCAAAATCAGATGAAGAAACACAAAAACATCATGTTGAATATCAAAAAATGTGTTTAGAAGCTAAACGTGCTCAACAATTATTCGATGAAAAAGAAGAACAACGACAACGTTTAAAATTAAAACGTGAAGAATTTGTTTCAAAATCATTAAAAATATGGACACATGATATTTTACCATATTGGGATAAATATGGTGGAATACATAATTGTCCAGATTTAACATTAAATTCTAAAGCTTATAAATTATGGTGGCATGGTTTACCTCCACGTATGACACAAAAAAAAAAGAAATTCAAAATTTTTATCTATTTGTATTTTTAGGAATAAGAGGAAAAGTATGGAAAATGGCTATTGGAAATGAACTTGGTTTAACATATGAACTTTTTACACAACTTGAACAAATGGCAAGAGAAAAATTAGAAGAAACAAAACAAGTAAATGACGATAAAAAAAAAAGAATTATTTATTTACAAAGAAACTTTTCTAGGCAGAAGATGCTCGTAGTAATCATTCACTATCACCACAATTACAAAGAACTTTTTCACATTCAAGTGAAACAACAAGTACATATATTGAACTTATACAACTTGATGTATCAAGAACATTTCCACAATTGGGACTTTTTCAAAACCATGGACCATATCATGGTGCGTATATGAAAGAATAAATATTCATAAAAATTTTATCGAAATGAATGATTCAAGATCGAGAATAATACTTATTTCTATATTTGATGATCTTAGTGAACAAAGCAAAAATTTCTGAATATTAAACAAAAAAAAAAAAAGTATTGATTACATTGAATTAAGAATTCGAAACATCCAAGGCTGAGTTGTCTATTATCAAATTGCTTTAAGATGATAATTATATTCAGTAATATGAGATGATATGGATAAATTATAGAATAGATTTTCACGTTTCAATTATTAAAATCAAATTTGATTTTTGATATTCAGTTGATAGATTTTATTACAGGTGTTATTAGAAATTTGAATATATACTAATATTTACATTACAATGCATTATTCCTATTATGTACAGTTCATAAAATCAAGGATTGTTTCAATAAGAATAATTAGATACAATAATCAATAAATATTTACTTAAGACTAGAGATCTACATCACGGTTAAACGAGAAAAGAAGACAGTTTTGAACAAAAAGTTCAGCATAAGTTATTCTTCTAATCTTGTTATAAAATACTGTTACGAAAAATTCGTAAAGAATAAAAAGTTATGGCATTTTATTATGAAAATTCACCTCGGTCTTTCAAAGATAGCTTTCTATTGCGTACTAGTTTTTTTACTAATAGAAAGTGAAGAATTTTTCTAATATTCAAATAGAGATTATTAGCAACTAAACGCCAGAAAATCCGATTTTTAGGCATTAAAATCTGTAGAATCTCTGAAAAAAAAAACATTTTAGAAAACTCATGACCTTCTATTCTAGAAAGGGGAAATTAATTATGTTCATAAAAGAATTAACCATTGTTATTGTGATTTAATTATATATTTTAATAATTTATCTTTTAGAATATCTTCAATTATTACTTTGTATATATGTATATCTTTGTCCAGAAGTTGGTTATGTACAAGGTCAAGCATTTCTTGCTGCAATGTTTTTATTAAATCTTGATTTATTTGATTCATTTATTTGTTTTTCAAATTTATTACATCGTCCATATTTTCAAACATTTTATCGTTTTAATAATATTGATAAATATTTACAATTATTTAAACAATTACTTGATTATCATTTACCTAAATTAAGTGCACATTTTATTCAAATGTCAATTGAACCAAATTGTTTTGCATTAGATTGGTTTTTTACAATATTTTCAAAATCATTACCACTTGATGTTGTTTCACGTATATGGGATTTATTTTTTCGTGATGGTGATGCATTCATATTTCGTACAGGAATAGCTATATTATCTTTATATGAAGAACGTTTATGTCAATTAGATACATTTCATTGTTTACAATTTTTAACACGTTTACCTGATGATCTTAATGCAACAACATTATTCAAAGCAATTGATAAAATTAATTTTGATCATACAAATTGTGAATTATTTTATTTAATTGCTTAAATAAGAAGTTTCATCTTGTTTTTTCTTTTTTGTTTCTTCATTTTTATCTATGCTCAGATATAGAAGTAGAGAGAACTAATAGCAATATAACTATCTTTTCTTTGTGCACGGCCAAATATATATGTGTGTGTGTGTGTGTGTGTGTGTATGCTTGTTTCTTTTTTTTGGTTCTAGTCTATTTGCACAAATTCTTTCGCATTTATTCATATAACTCATTTTGTTTTTTTTGTGAATAATCTTACTCCTTAATACTGCTCACATTTGATTTTTTGTTTTTGTTTTTCGATGTGATATGATTATCTCTCGCTCTCTCTATTCTATATTTCGTCTATTTTTTATTAAAATATTCACTTGTTCATCGCGCTAATCATTGTATAAATGTTATTTTAGAACAAAAATAAATTAAAAAATAATGAATGATTCAATATGCTAATCGATTATTAAGCATTATTAATTGTAGGATTTATTATTTACAGATGGCTAGAGTCCAATCAAATTTTGATTTAAAATCATCATATTGTCAACCAACATTTAATATTGAAAAATATCAATCGAAACAAACGAGGATGAAATTATATCATATTAATGTATCATTACCCTTAATTAAACTTGAGATATGTGTACAAACAAAACCATATGATGATACTGGTTGTGCGCATACATTAGGTAAATTATTTTTCATAAATATTTTAATATCAAAGAAATATTATTTGATTAAAGAAGAAACTTTATTCAATAATGATTCATTTGATAGATTGAATAAATTATTGTAGTACTTTGTGTGCCTACAAAAAGTGAATATTATACTTCATTATTGAAA